CAGATCCAAAATTCTTTTAGGGGCGCTAAAAATTCTTTTGTGGCTTCTGATATTTATTTCGCAGCGTTTCCTTTCTCAACGTAGCTTTGAACGTCACAATTAATTTGGATGCAGAAAAAGCTCAATAGTCTGTTCAGATCTTGAATGTCAAGTCCAATGACGTCATTCAAAAATGCCTCGTGGAAGGCTCGCTTTCTGAATGGTTTATCGCGCCATTAGGGGCGGAGTTTGAGCGACGACTTGACATTCAAAATCTGACCAGACTGTATGACTCATATTGGCGCATTATACTGTCGCCGATGGCCGAGGTCAGCGTTTCAGGCGGCGGACGTCGTTCGGACAGAAGCAGTCGGTTCGGCCGACAGGACGGCTTCACCATAGCCGACGAGACTTCCCGGGAGCTGCCCGGCGCCCGCAAACAGCTCAGCAATGAGAAGACGCGTGGCGTGCCCTCCGACGTATCCCTTATCCGATCAATTTTAAACGTGATTTTTATTTATTTTTCATTTTTTCTCTCTCGTCATTCATTCCTTACAAACATTCCTACCGCAACTCGCCCGCGTTCATGAAAAAGGGCCGATACAAGCCGTCTTCGAGTACATTTCCCTGTTCGTTCCCTTGTTTTCTTCCCAATATTCTAGTTTTATTATTTGTGTGCCGTGTTATTTTTCTGTCAGTTTACCCACGCTTATTAAAGGCGAGTGCTACGGAGATCGGTCAATAATGCGCCGTCAATTTCTAACTTTTTCTTTCTTGCAATTCGTTAAGGACCTGTTACTTGAGGTTACGAGATAAGTTAAGTCCCAAAAAGTACACTCATTTTTATTTTATTACCGTAAAACCATATCTAAACTACCGTAATACGACTGGCCGCCTTAAACAGGCCCAATTACGCTAAACATTTAAGCAGAAAAACATGATCGATTTTTATTTTTCGAGATTTTTCAGCTTAACTCACCTAGCTTATTTTTATGACACATTTGATTTTTCTTCAAAACAAATATAATTTCGAATTTTTAGACAACTTTTTCGAAGGTTCAGATTATATTCGAAAAGAAAATTTCAGAATCGAATGACGGCATGAAAAAGACAAACCGAAACTTCTATTTTTAGTATGTTTCTTTGATTGAATGAGCTTGTTTTCTTTGTTGTGCGAGGATCTTTCCATATTAGTCATCTTTGTTTTTACGATCTATTCTATTTTTAGCTCTGGTAGTAGCTCTAAATTTTTAAAGAACACAGGTTCAATCACGAATATTAACTTTATATTTTCAGAACACTTTTTGTCTGACAGAAAAGTGATTTTTATTTTGCGGTAGGCTTTTTTTCTTGAAATTGCGCCAGACCAATCCTTGATGTGCCAGATGAAGTTCTCGGAAGTCTAAACCTTTACAAGTTTTTAATTTTGAAGAAATTCCAAAGTCCCAAAATGACTTATTTTTGATGGATTTCGAGGGTTTTTCTTTGACTGTGAGTCCTTATTTCTCGAAAACTAGGAGGTTTTGTAGGTTGAGATTTTTCAGAATATGCTTCCGGTTTATCAAGGAGTGTCATGGTCAATATTCAGAAGAATTCCAACCGCAAAGTAAAATTACCTTCCTTGTGAGGAAATGACCAAAAAAATAAAGCCTTTTTGCAGAGTTGAAAAAAATCATAGAAAAAAGTATGCAATTGACAGTCATATCAAAAAGAAATAGGCAATAATTTATTTTTACATACTTATTTTTTTCTGTTCGTATTTCAAAAGAATCGACCGATTTCCAGGTGGACACGACATCTACAACCTCGATGCTGAGTTCGGACTCTGGCGTGGTCGCCGGCGGCATCTCGAGCAGCAGCAGCGCGACGACGACGCCTCCCGCAACGACACGACGACGTCCTCGTCGAGCACCACGTCTCCAGCCGCCGCGGCGTCGGAAAAGTCGACGGCCTCGCCGCCGTTCCTGAAGCTGACGGCGTCGCGAGGCCGGCGTCCGTCAGCCAGAACTCCGAGGCGGAAGTCATCGCAAGAATCGCGAGAACAAGGAAAAGGCCCAGCAGACGCCGGAGGCGACACGAGCCCAAGTCTGAACCTCCTCCAGCTCCGCGCCACTGATGGACGTCAAGGTTCCCGTGGTTCCCGAATTGCAACAAGTCCCCCAGATTGAGTGCTTGCCCAATGGTTTTGTATTTTTCAAGATGGTTTATGCTTCAAAGAAATTCAATATTAAGCTCCAACAGAGATGGGCAGACATGCGCAATAAATTTTTTTGCGAGTTTTTTGATTTCTTAAAAACATTTTTTTAAAAAAACTTGTGAAAACACACCGAAATCAACTTTTAGCCGCTAGCTGTCGGAAAATACCGTCTTAAGCGAAAAAATACATAAATTTCACTGTTAAAATCCGAAAATTGTGTTTACTTTTGTACTGTGGAAACTTTCACTGCTTCCGCATTCCGCAAAAATTTGAATATTCATCCCTGAACTCCTTGTTGAATTTGATCGTTAACTTTACAAAATCTTCGTTATATTTTTCACTCGTTGACTAAAGTTTCTATTTTCTCGAAACCACTAAAAAATTTTTTCCAGACACTATCGAAAAAAAAACATTGTCCTTTTACTATTTTTCCTCGTCTCACAAAAAGCAGTGTTCGCGACATTTTCGTTCAACTTTTCGAATACTTCCCAAATAACAATGAATTGGCAGATGATTCATACGCAGAGCGACTGCGAAAATGTTTTTCGGAATTAGGTCACGCTTTTGTTTTGCACTTTCTTGGGTCATAATTTTTGGCTTTTTTTTTCCTGGCTCTCCAAAATTTTTGAAATGAGGATAGAAGTATGTCGGTTTCTCGGCAAATTGAAAAATTACTAATATAATAGAATGATGACATATTGTTAATAGACCTATAGACAAAAAAATATTTTTTTGAAGGGGTAATGTTTACTCAAAATCTGGTTGGCTTCCATGGAAGAGAAGGAAATAAGTTTTTGGGAATCTAGTTCTAGTTTTTAGAGAGAATTTTTTTAGCAATTTTGTTTGGAATAATTTTTTTGAAAAACCATTTTTCATATATTTTATGAAAAAGAAGAACAGTGACATGTAACAAGTAAAAAAAGTGAAAGTTGCAAAATTTCAAACGGATTCGGTTAAAAATTGATTCGGCAGACATAGAAGCTTTTGAATAGATATGGTTTGAACTGTTTTTTTTCAGGAAAATATATTGTTTGACTGATGAAAAGCCATCTTTAGTTGCCGACAGGATGACCAGACCCGCAAAGTTGAAAAGGGAAAAAATGTAGAAAGAAAAAAGGCTCTTTTGACAATGTGACCGCTTCACAAGTCGCCGCGTTGCGTTCACCTCGAGACGACCTGTCTCATCCGCAGCTCTGGTTAGCCTGACGAAGTAGAGAAAAAGTTTTGCTGTGGAAATATTTTTTTAACTAAACCTTAAACAGTCTCTTTGAAATTTCGGTTTTAAGGCGAGATCGTGAACATTCCGGGATCGATGCTGACGGATCAGTTCGGACTGGCGGCGCTAGTCTCCCGTCTGCGCCATTTCCCGTTGAGCAACAACCCGTTATTGTCGTTCGCAACGGACACGGACTACGGGGACATGAGCAAGACGACGCCCGGAGCCTTCCTCGAGATGGGCGACTCGCTGAGCTTGATGGTCAACGGCATCGAGATGTCGTCCAAGTACCCTGAGATGGAGCCTGAGTAAGAGACGCCAGAAAGTTGTAGATGATCTCGGGATACAGTTTCAGGGCGCCGGTCTGGAAGACCTTCGCCGGCCCTTTCCGTGCAAATCCGCTCTCTGCGATTGAAATCACGGCCGAGGTTCAGGAAAATTTGTTTTTGGGTTTTTTCTAGGTTTTTGATGGGGAAAAGGTTGGTTTAGGATGATAAGGATATTTTTTGTCTGATTTGAAAAATTCAAGATTTTGCATTTTCTGAACTTAATTATGAGAAAGAAAGTTAGAAATGGCGGTTATCAAGTCATTTAGAGGTTTTATTAGCAAGTTATAGGGTTTTTCCTTAATTCTTACGGTAACTTAGATCAATTTCTTGGTAAAGATTGGTTTTTAAATATTCGAAAAAAATGGTAGAAAAACTTTTTTCCTTCTCCAGCTCATCATTTCAGTCATTTTCGATCTCGTAAATCCAATTCAGGAGTTCCCGCCGGAGTACTATCTGAGTCCGATTATAGAGCCCAAAGTTTCTGACAATATGATTCAAAAGGTAGATATCATCGAAAAAAAAAGAAGTCCTTATCATTATTTGGACAGATTGGCAGCCAGGAGCTCCTCTACATGTTCTACAACATGCCGCGCGAGCTTTGGCAGGAAAAAGCGGCCCGCGAACTGTACTGTCGCAACTGGCGATACAACGTTCGCGAGAAGTTCTGGCTCCGCAGACATCATTCCGATCGCAAGGTCGGCGGCGGACGTCTCTACGACATGTATGGCGGTTCGTTGATCGGTTTTTTTTTCGTTTGACTAGGGAATGGGCTTCTGAATGAGATAAGTTCACTAGATGTAGTTTTTCAAGCTGGTTCCAAATCTGGTCTCAAAACTGAGGAAATTCTTCAAAGGTGTTATGTAGCTAACCAGCAGGAAATTGGAAGTTGAATGGAAGCTAGAAGGTCCTGAAAAGCCTTTCGGAAGGGGAAAATGGAAAATGCCCAGAAACCTGCTGGAATGCTTCTGCAAGGCTATTTTTCAAGTTCAAACTTTTGGAAAGCTATGTGAAAGGACCTGCTGGAAGAAAGGAACCGAAAGCAGAAACTACCCAACTTTTACCTGAGAAGCTGCATGTGAAAAAAGTGGTTAGAAGATAGTTTCAAGAGAATTGTGAGATTTTTGTTCATACGTCAGCTGGATTCTTCCCCCGGGTGCGGCCTACCCCCTCAAACTGCGGCCTATCCCCCAAAAAAATGCGGCCTACCCCCGAAAAAGAGCGGCCTACTTCAGTATATTTTTCAAATTTTTTTCGAGCGCAAAAAGGCTGGGGTGGTATCCAGCCGATGTATGTTTTTGTTTATCTTCTTCTCGAAAAGTTAGTTCATTGATTTGGCCTAGTTTAAGATTGTCTTCATATTTTGAACTTTTGACCAATGCAAACAAAAGTTTTTCAACTTTCTGAAGGATTTTCGGAGAGCCACCTTGAAAAATTAAATCTTGGCTCGAGAAAGTTCCCAAAAATCAAACTACGAGGTTTTTTTTCCCCTAAAAGTCCTTGTGATAATTTTCTGTATGAATCTGACTTCTAGCGGGAGTGTTGAGATAAGTTTCATTTTACGAATTTATGAAGCTAATTTTTTCAGGAGCCATTGGCCAGAAGCACACGTCGCTGCTGTCGATGCTCCACCAGGTGACGGACACGTTCGAGTTCGGTATCTACGACGTTTTCGATTCCGTCAAGTTCAAAATTGTGAGCTTTTCCTAGTTTCTTGGTTTCCAAAAATGCAGGCTTTGGTATTTTTTGTAAAAGTAGTTTATCGGCTTTTTGTTTATTACTTCAAAAAGTGTGTTCTTTTTGAATTTTTTTGGTTTTTCAGTTATTTGAACATTTCTCACATATTTTTTTAGACTGGCCCGTATGAAAAAAATTGAGCAGTGTTGCTGGGATTTTTTTCAAAACCTGATTAAAAATAAATATAAAAACGTGTTTTCTACTTTTAAAAATATATCCAACTTCCATAAATTATATTGCTGATGGGTGGCTTGAGCCATCGAAAAAAAGGTCCTGACACGATGGGAAACGAAATAGTGCATGGTTTGTGGAGAGCGCAGACAGGCCCAAGCTACCCTTTTATCGACTATAGTCCTCTTCGGATCCTAGAGAATGAAATAAGATCTGATTATCCCAAAACGCATTTCTAAAAGACCAACCTAAAATTAGAAATAAAGACAAGTTGCATTTTCCAGATGACGCGCGAGATGAAGGTGATCTACGAGGAGCTGGAGCAGATGGATCTCACGAACCAGCAGCCGTCGTCGCTGGCAGCGGCCCTCTCCAGCCATTCGCAGCTTCTCGGCGGCGCTCCCAAGGATCCCGGCGTGATCGGCAGTCGCGGCAAGCTGTCGCTGCCCTCGCGAAGCTTCTTCCTCGAGAACGGACTCGCGTCGCCGACCGTCCAGGCCCCGCCGATGGTCTTCCCGTCGCTGCAGGCCGTTCAGCAGCAGCAGGCCTCGCTCCGTCGTCTCTGAACATATCCGTGCACATTCCTGTCCTTGATGAGATTCCACTGATTGGTTGAAAGAGTTGGGCGAGGAGTTGCAGATTTTCTGTTGTCTGCAAAAGTCGGGCACTTAGTTCTAAGGTTCTACTAAAAAGTCTGTATTATGGTTTATTTTGCTGTACACTTTGGTCGTTAAATCCCATAACTTTCTTAAAATGATAGATTTTTCACCTTGCCCCTGTCGTGGTAGGAGTATAAAATGAGCTTCCAATTTTTGATCGGAATTTTTTTCACAATTGTTTTGTGAATAATTCAATTTGATGATTTTTTTGAGGCTCTAGAAAAAGTAATTGGAGGCTATTTAGAAAGTTTGACCTGCATTATTTATCTTTGAACAGTTTGAAAAAGTCTGGGCTTTAGGAAGGGTTATTTTTGGTTGCCCACGAGTTTTGCCCCTTCAAAGATTTTTCTGAAAAAAATTTAAGTTTTTTTCTGCATTTTTAACGCAGAAGAAGAGCTTTTTTGGAACTTTGGTTCGATTTCTAATTTTTTTGAGTGAGAAAAAAATGGAATTCATCCTGGAAAATATCAAAGGAAAAGACCTTTTTGTGTATCTGGAAACTTTATAAATTCAAAAAAAGGTTTCCGGAACTTTCTCAGCTCTCCTCAATTCACCCACTCTCTCTCCAACACAATCCAATCCTCCCTGCCTTGTTTTCTGACTGGTATCCGATTCCTTGCCGAAATTGAAGATATCTCATTATTGTATCTATCCCTTATTGAATTTCCATTCCCCGTATTTTGTCTCCATCAACGATATGTTTTTTTGTCGTATTCTGCTTGTTTCGAGGCGATATGTCCAGCACAAATATGGTTCTTTCACTTTTTTCTCTTATCCGTTGTTCTTGCGATAAAATTATCTGGAAAAAAAGGATTTTTTGTGAAATGCGGAAGGTGTTTGATGCATTATTATTGGATTGCGAAATTTCCCTTTTCCCAATTGTTCAGGATGGATCCGGAGTTGTTGAACGACGAGGACTACGAAACGGACACTGTTTTTCTCGGGAAGTGATGATGATGGTTTTAAAAAAATAATTTTTTTCATTTCAAAGTTGGAAAAATGATTCAGATCTTCGTATTGATCGAATCGATATCGAAGCCGATTTTTGACGGTTTTTGAATATTTTTTTGGATTGAAAAAAATATCAAAATGAACAGATAATAAGACGGAAGAAACCGCAAAAAGCTGAAGATGAACTGACGGATTCTGGAACGAGGCGGAATTCTTTCAGATCTCCGTTGAGGTTTTTAGATTTTTTTCAAGTTTTAGGAAAACCCTTGATAATTTGAAGAATTGAAAATGAAATTTTTAAAGTATTTTTCGAGAAACTTGTTCGAAAAATTTGAGAGAATTGAATTTTTTTCGTCTTTTTCGCTTGATTGGACGATGCAAAAATATCGAAAAAAATTTATTTTTGAATTTCAAAATAATCCATTTTTCTAATGAAAATCTTCAAGAAAAAAAGCTGAAAAAAATCGTGAAAGTTTCCTCAAAAAGGGTCAGAAAAATCTCTTGAATATTTCTTGAACTATTTCAGAATTTTTTTGAAGCTTTTTTTGAAGAAAAAAAGAAATGATCTTTCCGCGATTTTTTTCTGAAACTCGAAATAGACTTCGATTCGATTTTTTTATATTGAATATTGCTGTCCCTTATCTGAATCTCCTCATAAAACCCTAATACATCGAAAAAAAGTCGAAATATCCAAGAATTGATGGCGAATTTCAAGATTTCCGTATCACCAGGAAAAAAATCTCATTATTGTTAAAATTCACCTGGATTTTCATTAAAAATTCTTTTTTTCATTCAACTCAGCTTTTTTTATTAATTCCCATTGGATGGAAGTTGAAAATCGACTTTTTCCTCTCTGAAAGAAAAACAGCCCATTCAGTGTTCAAAAGTTTTTTTCCGTGAACAGAGTGCGAAAAAGATAACTAATTTTTTACAGGGTCAGAGAACACTTCGATTTTCACGGAAATTACTTTGGAAAAAGCTTCAGATTTTCCTTTTTTCAGTTCATTCGACGATCGACCTTCCCCAAATCTCCTTTCACCGTCTTTCGACCTTTCTATGCTCTCGCCTAGTCCCGTATTTATTCTCCAGAGAAAAAACTCAAAGAAGAAATAATTCAGACATTTTTCCCCTTGCATGACCCTCGGTTCGACTTTTTGCCCATTAGCGAAGAGGACGACGAGCGTTGGCAGAAGGAAGATTATTTCCGAACTGGGAGGTTCGAAAATTGACAAATTCCGAGAAAATATTGGTTACAATTTGTAAATTAACATTAAAAAAGTTTTTTTTTTAGAAATTTTCATTAATAGCAAATCTTGTTGAGTAGAATGAGAGAATCCTACAATATAAAATGTCAAATTTTCAATTTTAATTGGTTTTTTAAATTCTGAAAAGGTAAAAAAATGTTGAAAGGGTGAAACGTTAATTTGAGACTAATTTAGAACTATATTTTATCTTTGGACATCCGAGTTTTCCGATTTTTTTATACATTGGGCTGAATTTATTTTTATTTTTAGGTTTATTTCGGGTTCATTTTGAGTTTTATTATGAATTTTATTATGAGCTTTCAGAAAAATTAAACTGGTTCATAAATTTGATTATCAACTTGTAAAAACCAGTAGTTTAGAAGGTTTTTTTGTCAAGCAAAAAAATTGAGTTTTTCTGTTTTGATCTCATAGTAACCAAAAAATCCGTTTATCAGCACAAATCCGAAAATTTTGTTTTTTTTTTCATTGTTGGTGACTTTTTCTATTTATTTCGGATTTTTTTAGATTTTTCTCGGTCATTTATTATCAATTCTTCGGATTGAATTTTTAATGAAACGAAAAATTTTTTTCAGAAAAAAATGTTTGTTTTAAATATTTCCGCGAGAAAGTTTCAAAAATTTCGTAAAAAAATATTTTTCTCAATTTTTTTCAAGTGAAGTCTTAATATTTTTTTATTTTTATTTTGTCTTTGACTTTGACTTTAATCGTTATTTTTTTGAAATCTTCTATTTCACTTAAAAAAATACTAACCAGGGAATGGTCTCAGCTCACAGTGGGACTTCTGAATGAGACCAATTTTATTAGATGTAGTTTTTTTCACGCTGATTCCAAATCTGCTTTCAAAAAGTTGCCCAATACGTCTGTGAAAAAAGTTATGGACCCTCAAAAGTCGAAAATTTCAGTGTCTCCAATTGAGCTGTTTTTTGGAGGGTATGTAGATCTTGTCCCTCTGGTTACGGAAAACTATTGAACTTTTCTCAAAAAAATTCCGCAGCCCAGATATGATCTTTCAAAGCCCCGCCGAACATAAGAGAATGCGCGCGCGGTGTCCTATTGCGATCCGACGGCTGTCGTAGCAACGGCAGCGAGGAGCAGTGGAAAGGCGGCAAACTGGGGAGCACGAGGTCATGGGTTCGGTCCCCGTCCTCTGCAAAATTTTTTTGCAATTTTTCCTTTTTTGGACAATTTCGTCTAACTGCTCCTTTCTTGAGTTTTTGAAGCGTAGAAACATGAGAAAACTTCTTTTTGAACCTTTATAAACACGTGGACTTATTTTTTTGTCAAAAAAATTTTATTCATGAAATTTTTTTCGTGATTTTCCATGTGTATGATGGGTTGAGTATGAAAATTTTTCGAAAAAAATTTTTTTGTTTTTGTTATTTTTTTGTTTCAAAAGTTGACTGGTCCAAGGAATCATGACTACGCTGTCAAAACTGACAGATTTTCATGGTTTTTCAGACCTCAACCTGCTCATACGGCTCTATGAGAAAGAAAGAAATGCAAGTTTTTAGCTTTTTTTGCTGAAAAAAACTTTTTGAAGCACTTTTTACTAGTTACTAAATTTTTACAACCAGAACCGTAATCTCCTAAATATATTCATTACAATGAGATTTTTAGAAAGTTTACCTTCAAGTCAGACTTTGTAGAGTAAAATGTCAAAAAGAAAAAAATATAACTTTTTAAGGCTTTTAATAGCATTTTTCCTTCTTTTGATTTCGGGACTAAACTTTTTTCCGACAAAAAGGCAATCATCGCGTATAAATCACTGCAACCTAAAAAGATCTTTTTGGTAGAGGAAAATTTTGGAAAAAAATTTTTTTCTGTCAGTTTTGACAGCGTAGTCATGATTCCTTGGACCAGTCAACTTTTGAAACAAAAAAAATAACAAAAAACAAAAAAAATTTTTTTCGAAAAATTTTCATACTCCAACCCATCATACACATGGAAAATCACGAAAAATTTCATGAATAAAAATTTTTTTGACAAAAAAATAAGTCCACGTGTTTATAAAGGTTCAAAAAGAAGTTTTTCTCATGTTTCTACGCTTCAAAAACTCAAGAAAGGAGCAGTTAGACGAAATTGTCCAAAAAGGAAAAAAATTGCAAAAAAATTTTTGCAGAGGACGGGGACCGAACCCATGACCTCGTGCTCCCCAGTTTGCCGCCTTTCCACTGCTCCTCGCTGCCGTTGCTACGACAGCCGTCGGATCGCAATAGGACACCGCGCGCGCATTCTCTTATGTTCGGCGGGGCTTTGAAAGATCATATCTGGGCTGCGGAATTTTTTTGAGAAAAGTTCAATAGTTTTCCGTAACCAGAGGGACAAGATCTACATACCCTCCAAAAAACAGCTCAATTGGAGACACTGAAATTTTCGACTTTTGAGGGTCCATAACTTTTTTCACAGACGTATTGGGCAACTTTTGAAAGCAGATTTGGAATCAGCGTGAAAAACTACATCTAATAAAATTGGTCTCATTCAGAAGTCCCACTGTGAGCTGAGACCATTCCCTGGTAAGTTCAATTCAGGATCACGAAAGGAGTCAGCTACAACATTATGACTGGGAAATTGATGGCGGATGAACATGAGAAGATTGAAATTGTCGAAAAAGTAAGAAAATATCATCCAGTGATTGAAAATGACTGTTTTCCTTCAGAAAAATGAGGCTGACTTGACCTCGGAGACGGAAAAATCCACCTCTTCCGGTTACAAATCCACAAAGGACCTCGAAAACGAGATTATGTCTTTTTCTGACGTTTTTTCGGCGATCCCAAGGGCCTTCAATTATGCGGATTCGTTACCGGTTGGTTTTTATAAATAATTTGTGGAAAAAAACTGAAAAGAAAAAAACTAAACTTTTGAAAAAATTTCTTCTATAAAGTTTATTTTGTTTGAATGAGGTCAAAAAACTCGGAATGATCATGATGATGAAACGCGAAAACTTCATGGAAAAACTTGGAAAAAAATTTGCAAATTTTGAGAGAAAGAAAGAAAAGAAGAGAAAACGTATAGTCAATCCAGCCCTACCTGAAAAGACGATGGGAGGCGCAGAAGGGGGCGGGACGCGTAGCGTGTGCGTTCGCGGTTCTTGACACAAGTTTAGTTCAACGGCAGACTAATTGGACATTTTTTTCTGCATTTATTGACTTCTTTTTTTCTAGCTGTTAGATCAAAAAAATGTAAGAAAGAAAGAAGCGAATAGTGTAAATTAAATTTATTAATCACAATTTATGGGACAAACAAGTACACTGTTGGCAGAGTGAGACCTTTTCTTGCTTTCAAAAATGAGTCTCAGAAAAGCCTTTTTGTACGGAGTTATCATAGTCAAATACATCACGCAGATAGTTGGACACAATGTTTGACCAGGGGCCCACAGAAAAAGTGTCATCGGCAAGCTGTAAATCTTCTTTTTCATTTGTCTTTGATATTTTTGAAAACATAATTTTTATCAAAATACAAAGAAAGACAAACTCACTGGATGAAGGCTTTGAAGTTAGAAATGGTTACGAAAAAGCTTCCCAGAATCGGTATCACAACGGCAACCCCGATGGCCAAAAGTGTTCCCAATTCAATTGTCAATATCCTTCTGAGAAGTCGTTTTACGGCTGTGGAATGGGTATGGTGTGACTGAAGGGTCCTGAATAGTGACCATATAATTTTCTCGTTAAATTTTTTAGTATTTGTTTGAGAAGGTTATGGGAATCGGATAATAAAACTCACATGGAAATAAGGGACGCGAAGAACCAAAACAAAACTACTACGATGATAGCAAACTCGAGAGCAAGATAATAAGCGAACTTGCGATAAACTAAGAAGAAAACGGCGTGGTCTTTGAAAAAGTCCGCCAATCTGTTATCAACAGTAACCGCGATCCTACGAGCTTCATCCTGGTCCCATACAAGGCAGTTGAGAAGTGGATATAAGTTGACAACGCAAATCGAAATGGAAATAAACCATAAAAGTCGTTCAGCATAAGCCACCGATTTTGAATGAGTGAGGTCGAAAATAGTGAAATACGTGGCGGTTAGCGCGTTGCGGGTTAAAGTTAATGTACAGAAAATTAATTCAAACAAAGACAGGTAGACGAGTAAAATGACCGAGGCGCCGGTTATACGGTAGTTACTGGCGCTTGTTAGATTATTGAACAACATTTGATACGGTAGGACACTGTAGAGGCCGTCGAAAGCAATGAAGAGAGAAAATAAACAGGAAAAGATTATCTGGAGGGCGAGAAATACTTTGAAGGCTTTGATGATCCGAGAAGAATTTCGCAGAACGATATAAAGGGTCAGAGCTGCCAGAAATATGACGATGACCGCGACGGTTATCTCCCAAGTCTGTGTCAGTTTTATGTAGCTGAAAAGGTGGACTTTGACGGAAGTTTGGGAAATTCTTGAAGGTACTTACAGAGAAGATTATTTTAAGGCTGAGCGTTATTTTAAAATTGCTCTGAACATCCTTCGATGTACGATATATTTTTGTAGACGTGATGGGTAGATTGGCAAGTTGACGCGATGCGGTTTTCAGAACGCAGCCATGGAATAAAAAATTATTTCTCTTCCAACTAAATTTTTTCAAACTATAAAAAAGTCGATACTTTGAAAAAAAACTATCAAGAATAGATAAAAACTTGAAAAAAAGGAGTCTCTAGTTTCCCTCCAACAGCCGCGTCGTGTACGCAACGCGTCATCCTTGCCAATCTATCAATCTCCTCCTTTCAAGTCGGGAATAAATGACTATAAGGTACACATAAAAATTGTTTTTATAAATTTCTCGTGTTCAAAATAGCTGTAGTCTACTTACTTTTCAGTTTACAAAATTTTTAATAATCCAAATTTCAAAGCCGAACCTTTGGTGGTGGGTATACGCATCATAAAATCCATCTAGAGCTGAGACGATATTGAAAGGCACGATATAATCGTTAGAATTCTCGGAGAACATTTATTTAGTTAGTTGTGAATGACTTTTTTGCCAAACTAAAGCACCTGGTCTTGTTTTAAAATGCGTCAAGCAATTAATGGAATAAAAGCTGCATTTTAACACCCGTTCTCTGAGGAAGTTCAGCGAAATTCAGTTTTCACAAAAAGTGACATTTTTGATCTACTTCATTGTAATATACTCAACAATGTCATTTCAGGAGCCTTTGAAGGGCGTTTTCCAAAACGAGAAATATGATTTTTTGAGGGCGAATTTAGGGCTTCAAAGAACCATTTAGAAACATGCTGATTGGGGAACATTAATTATTCTCTTCAAAAATAATTTTTACACAAAGCAAAAAAAGTTTATTGTATGATTCTTCAGGAAGTGAACGGCGCCTGGGTGCTGAAGCACCGAGAAGAGGAGCTGGACCAGCTGACGACCTTCGAGCTTCAGGCTCCGATCTGCGCGGCTCTCAACTCGCGGCACTACCTTCTCATGTTCTTCGGCATCGACGAGCGCGACCGCGTCACCGGCTGCGAATTGTCGGCCCGCGACCGCGTCTGCTTCCGAATGGCCCTGTCGCGGGCCGTCGCCGGCGAGTTCCAGCCGCCTCTGATCAACGCCGCGCCCGCGACCCTCCACGGCATGAATCGCGCCGACGACCTGGCCGCCGTCACCTCGACCGTCGACGTCGTCTTCCTGCCAATCCTGCCGGTGACGTCGTCGGATGAGCCCACGACTCGACGTTACGTCATCGTCGTCCGTGTCAAGGAGAAGACCGAGAAGGTCGGAAGCAAGGATTTGCTGATCTCCTTGTTTTTTTTATAGCAGAACCGATTCGTTACAACTTGAAATAATAGGATTTTTCTGCGCAAAAGAACGAGATTAGTCCACCTTTTTCCGGTAAAAATAGAAAATTTTCGAAAAATCAATATCGATCAATATTCTTCCATCTTCAATTTCGAATCTTCTTGCAGCTTTTCTCAAAATCTAAATGAGCAGTTTAGGTGTATCAACTTTCTTCCGGACGAATTTACATCGAAGAAAATGGCGTTCCTGTCCAGTTGAGTTGTTTGGAAGAGGTGTATCCTTCTTTGCATGACCTTCATCAAAATTTTCCGAAATTCCAGGCTTCCAGAATGATCTTGGGCGATCGGATCATCCCGGAGCTCTGTGAACCGATCGTCGTCGAGGATTTCGTCAAAGAAGTCGAAGCAGAGCCGGAAGAGGCCAAGGAAAAAGTCGTCGCTGTGAAAATGCCGAGACGGAATATTCTTCGCGATTTGAATGTTTTGAGGTGATTTTTTTCGGTCAGAAATACCTGAAAAGTCCAGCGTTCAAAGAAAAAGAAAAAAAAAAAGAAGTCGGCAAGTTCTTCAGTTTCAAAAAAAGGAAAATACGAATACTTTTAGCGAAAAAGTTTGAGTAAATAACCAAGAACCGGCAATGTATTGAATTATACAGGGAATTTTGAAGAGTCAGAGATAATTTTAAATGGAATAAATTTGAACACGGCAAAAAGGACGATTTTAAAGTTTGAGAAAGTCTTTTTTGAAAAACCAATACGTATAGAGCCTAGCGATAGTCAGGTTTCTGAAAATTCTTTGAACCTTCCAGTCTGTTTTTTTAAAATAAAGAATTCCCTTTCCATTCTGATCGCTTTTCAGAGTCAAAATCATGACCCAAACACTTGAGAGAAATCTAATTTTTTTGAAAAAAAAAACAGTTTTGCGAGACTTTTCACATTTTAAATCGATGATTTTGACGTTCTAGAAAGCCTTTTTAACAGACTTACGTATGAACTGTATCCCAAAAAATTCTTACTTTCTTTTCTTTTTTTCCTTGCTACGCCTTTGTTCCACTTGAGAAGCTTCGGCGCCCAAAGTTGATGAGACAAGGCCCTATCTTGGTATCAGACTGGCTCCAGGTTCACGCGAGTGTCGACCCGAGCCTCAAGTGAAAACGGCCCGGCTCAAACCAAAGAGAGCAATTTTTATCAAGTCCGATATCAGACAGTTCTACGATAAAATCACGTTCTTGGTTCTTTTTTCATTTACAGTTCAACAGAAATTATGATAAAGTGGTAAAGGAAATTTTTTGGGGAAGTTTGGGTAAGCTTGAGATTTTTCTTGGTCACGAGGGGGGTCGAACTTGTGATCCTGTGGACCGTAGACAGACACGCGACTTCATAGACGAATCGAGAAAGGGTATCGCAATACCCTCTGAAGTACATCGCAGGCTCTGAAGTCTCACGATGGTACCTCAAGTATAGTAATTTTGACAAGTCTATGATGTAAGGTATGTGAAAAAAATGTACAGATGAGTTATCAAATAATAAATAATTAGGAATAGTTCAGAGGTTAGATTGGATTTACAATATATCGCGCAGCCGTTTCGAGTCTTAAAAGTGTGCGGCATAAGAGGTGACTCGCATCAGCACTTTCCTCCTTGCATTAGTTCAAAAAACGAAGAAAAGGATAATTTTGCGACTATCTTAGGCGCGTAAGGTCTGAGGAGGTCTGAAGATTCTGAGCAAAATGAACACACATTATGGGGTCTTCACGATCCATTTTCAGAGGTACCTTTGTGTACCCATTATGGTACCTTCTCAGTTCGCCTGTGTTGTTGCGCTACGGCGCATCTCTAAGAACTTTTTCATTCTCTCCATTGATTTTTTTTTTTCAAAAAAGGATTCCTTCCATTTTAAATATCGTTTTCAGAGTGAAGCGTCTGGCCGAAACAATGAAGGAAAAGCTGCCGAAAGGCGGCGTTCTTCGTTACGCGATGTGTGCCGCCATCGGCTCTGCTGCCGCGATTTGTGGCCACAAGATTGTCAGAAAGTATCTGTAATTCATTGTTATTTGTTGTGTTTTATCATTTCGAAGTCTTTGAAAGTTTATAATAAAGTATTTGTTTTCTTTTATACGTGAATTTTTGACCAAAGCCTTTTGAGCCGGCAGAGGTGTTTTTTCCATAGAAAAAAATATTTGAAATAGCGAATTTTTCGCTTTTTGGAATATTTTTTTCAGCCTTATGAAGAACTTCATGAACTCCGAAGTTTCAACAATGACAACTGAAAAAAACAAAAGGTTTGATATAACAATTTTTAACCCATGTAAATTGGTTTTCATAACAATTAAGCTAGGAACTTCGAAATTGATTGATTTGAAGCGTTAAAATACGCTCAATTTTATTTTTTGGTGTTTGAATAAAAAAATTCAAGCTTATTCTTGCTTAAAATATCAATATTTCGTTCGATTCCAAGCCGAACTTATCAGAATAGTCAAGAAAATTGAATTCAGATAAATTCGTTGTGAAGTTTTTTTTTCAGCTGTAGAAAGTTTTTATGCCGTATTCGATGTGATTCCGCGAAATCCAACGGAAAAATAACTAAATTCTGGGAAGTCGGAAATAATTTTTGCATCATTTTTATATAAAAAAATATGAGAAAGGTTCCCATCAAAACCATTCCGCAATTTTCTTTTCTATTACTTCGTACAGGCAGGAAATATTTCTCAATTATAATAATCTAGACAACTTCACGCTTTTTTATGAATTGCTCAAAACAGGAAAGTTTTATTCATATCGGATTCTATTAGCTTTTTTTACGAAAAATTTTCAGATAAAATCTAAAAATCACAAAAAATCAAGGACGTCGAAAATCAAAGCTTTTTTTTAATCTGGGTAATACTTCTACAGTGAAGCAAGCAATGTTATAATAAACTCAAAGCTTCAGTGAACCATAGAAATGTTTTCAAGCACTGTTTCCTAGCGTGAATCGACCCAAAAAAGTTTGAATCTGTTTCTCGGTTTCGGAGATTTTTTGATTTTAGGTTTCTGTCTGTAACTTACTAGAAAAATGAGCTGATAAACTAAGTTTTTGGTGTTAATAAGCTGGACCCGTAGAAAACAACTGTAGAAGGTTTGGCAATAATTGACCAACTCCTAGAAAAGTTATGACGAAAAAAGTGAAATTGTATATATCTTACTGCACGCTAAGGGGCAACAGGAATAGTCCTCCGAAAAAAAAAGTTCCGTCCTGTTTTTCGGAGAATTTTCAGAATTTACTCAGAAATGAAAAAGATTCCTAACACGACATGAAGTTTCCTGTTTCAGGCAATAGAACGATCCTCATCTAGGCCATTCAAATTTTTTCTCTTTTTCGGCTTTTTTCCCGATATTCCCTCGAAAAATCAAAAGAAAAACACTCTTGAGTTGATCCTGGCACTCATTGACGACGAGTGGCGTAGCGTAAAAACGTAAAAACAATTAAGGAGCCGGCCCCCGAAAATGAAAGCCCATCGAAATTTTTCGAGGCGTAAAGCGTCCGGCTCAACCAAGAGCACATAAAAGCGCCGCCGGACCTCCATTTTACGACTTTTGACCTAACCGAAAACGAAGAAAGAAGGCTTTTTGGATGGTCGTTGTGTTATATTTTGATGGCGGCTGCTTTTTGAGCATACGGGTTTTGCTCATGTTAGCCAAGATTAGGCGAACTTTATTTTCAAAAACTTCTGAAGAGTCTTTCTTGTTGGGAAAATTTTCAGTGGCCACTATGGAGGCTCGCCAGGAACTACGTGGAGAGGTCACTGAAGTGGCCACTTCAGTATTTTTTCATCCAGTATTCCTCCCAGTAACTCTGATAGTTTTTAAACATACAGATTAGACCAGTTATTTTGATACATTGACCCCTAAAGTGGCCACTAAAGTTTTTAGTGGTCTAGTAGCAGCACTCAGACCTCTATAGTGGCCACTAGTTTTTAACCCCTAAGGGCCCCTAATTTGACTACTATAGTGGCCACTTGAAATTTTCCCAGTGCTTTCTACATTTCTTCTTTTTTTAGAGAAGCCACTTCTTTCTATGATTTTCTTTGAAAAAAGAAACAAAGCATTGCTCATATTAGCATTTCGAAACTTTATGCTTCATGACATGATATGCTTCGCATTCTATTGTCCAGCGAAAATTTTGGAAAACACCATTGCTCATACTAGCTCACACTCACGCTTCTGCCCAAATTCATAAGTGGTGCTAGCTTCGTCCGATAATATGCCGAGAATATGCCGAGAATGTACAAAAATGAAGGAAAATATTCTCGGAGACGGATTTTTGGAGAGCCGAGATCCGTGCGAAACACACCCATAAATCCGCGCGACCTCGATTTATGCCCCTTTTTCACTTGATTCCCAGACTTCCTTCTTTATTTGGTTTTCCAATTCGTCTCTTTTATTGGTTTGTGGGAGTAGTCGACTCAAGGAACGAAAAAAGGAAGAAGAAGACAACCACGAAATATCTGTTTTTTGGTTTCGTTTCAACTGAGTTTAGGTTTAAAAATTGATTCTTGAATTACCAGATAACCTTTTCGAAAATCCTGATCTGCGAAACTCCCAGTTTTCGTAACCCTAGGGCTCTGAAAATAGCCCGTTTCCGCTATTCTTGACTGTTAATAATGACTAAGAGGTGTATTTTTTCGGTAAACCGGAGCTTTCTCAAGTTTGAAGGTCTATCCGGAACCTCAAAAAGTATTTGGACCAACTTTCAGGAAATTCCCAAAAGCGAAGTAAAATAAACTTCTTTGTCAGGATGAAATTTTCCTTTTTGATGTGATCCAAAACCATTCTGCAACCCATTAAGTAATAAATTTTGACGGAAAAAACATTGAAAGACATATTTTAATCGGGATTTGAGTTTTAATGCTGAACTCATTAAAGATATAGCCATTTGTAAAACTGGTTTTCAATCTCATAACCAAAATTTAAAGGACTTAGAAAATTTTACTAATGAGACTACTTTTGGCCTCTTGCTATTCCAACGCGCAGTTGTTCATGAAACGATTTTTTTCCTTGGATAACTTTGAAAATATTCAAGTTTAAAAATGATGTGTAGATCCATTTCGAGAGTCTATCAGTTAGAATGAATTATACAGATTTTTAAGAAAAGCTTTTACATATTTTTCATTCCGTAGATTGTTAAGTGCGCTCCACCAGAAATTCTCAAAAAAATAGCCTTTTCTTCCCGAAAGCCTAGTCCATAGAACATTCCCAACTAACGGAAAGCAACTTCCTACGGAGGCTTGAGGTTGAAGCTCGTTTTTTATTGTTTCCCCTTTCTTTTCCTTTTTTTCTGCGGACGCACTTCCTTGAAGGAACAATTTCCAGTTGGACAATAGTTGCGAGTTTCCGAGAAAAGTTTTCGAAAGAATTTTTGAGTAATGAGTGAAGTAGTTACTGGAAATCACTTTGAGGATTCTCGTAACATGTTTTTTTTTTAATTTTTGAAACTTTTAAAAAGTTAACTGGTAGAATTTACCAACAAGGGAGGTCATTTTATAGTCTGTTCAGATTTTGAGTGTCAAGTCGTCGCTCAAGCTCCGCCCCTAATGGTACGATAAGCTAATCAGAGAGCGAGCCATCCACAGAGTGTTTTTGAATGACGTCATTGCACTTGACATTAAAAATATGAATAGATTACACTTTGGGATTTTCTTGGAATTTGGCCAGAACGCTCCTTGGTGTACCGGATGAAGATTCTGAAAGTCCCAACCTGCCCAACTTCCTATTTTTCGAGAAACACGGGCTCAAACCAAAAAATAGCCTATTCAAAGGGTTTCGAGAGCTTTCTTGGATTTAGAATTGTTTTTTCTCAAAAACTAGGAAGTTGTAAAGGTTGAGACTTTCAGGATCTTCATCTTGGACATAAAAGATAATTTTCAGGAAATTCGCGATCGAAAAGCGAAATGACCTTCCTTGTAAGAGGACACGAAAATATAATGAAAAAATATCTCACTTACCTGTTTCATAATTAATTTTTCAGTCTTTTTTTCGCAGTTTCTTTCTGTTCTTCACTGCATTCCCCTCTCCCAATCCCTTTGTTTGTTTTCGAAAGCCTTGAAATAGTAACGCTCAACTTTTTTTTTCTCGACATGTAATCCAAGACACTAAAATATTGTTATATTTATTTTGCGTGCCACACGCCACACATTCTTCAATCTTTCATTTTTCCCATATTCTCCTTTTTCGGTTGTTTTTCGTGTGTTCCTACTTTTTCACATGCGCCAAAGAAGTTACCAAAATATACTTAGCTTTGGAGAAATTTCCATGGAATCTGAAAAAGTTGTTGACAGAGCTAAAATTTTCAAAAATCAGTGTTCCGATTTGATTTTGAGCAAAATGAAAGGTCTATACGAATGATTTGATGAGTTATTTTCAAAAGAATGAGAACTTTAATTTTTCGGATTTCAGCTTGGATATCTCCTATCGAAAGTTCGATCGAGTTCATATAGATTTTCAAAAAGAGCTGTTCAATTTATTGTTGGGAGTTAGATTTTGTTAATCAAATCTTGTCAGTTATAATAATCAAAAGCCAAAAAAACAGTCTTTTCGAAAAAAATGTTTTATTTGTTGAAGTTTTCATGATTTTTTTCCACAAAATGCTTGGAAAATTTCGGATTTTTTCATGTAGCCTGTATTGTTTTCGAAGCAGTAGTATATTTTGTACTTTGGACTATGGTAATTCAACGATATCACTCTTCAGCCAACGGAAAATTTCTCACTCTTGAAGATGCGTACAGATCGTAAGGCGATATGCGAATGAGTGGGGGCCCATCCACTTGAGCGGTTTCCGTTGGTTTTGAAATGGGTTCAAGACGAACATCCGCTCCTTCTCGTGTACTCTTTCGCGCCTGGAGAATCACTCGAGTTCTGTTTGCCGAAGGATGTTGTGACTGGAGACGAGCATGATCTGTTTGAGTTATTCTTGGGTTATTGGCGGAGGTCTATTCGTCATGGTTTTGTTTGAGAGAGGGCAGAATCAAAATTGGTACACATGTTGTAGTCGATGTGCCACGAGTTGAAATTTCATGAAACGACACTCCGTTCGGTGGCCTTGTGGCCGTGGAGAATAAATGCCTTTGCGGAACTCGGTCACGCTTTCCCATTTTATAATTTGCCGTTTTCAAATACATTTTCTTCGATAATTCTTTAGTTTTATGAACTTTTTGGCAGTGCAATGAGAAACGAGAAAAAAACAATATTGAAGCGATTGATGAATACAGGAAGTTTTTCAAACTTTTTTTATCGCTCTTTTTGAGGAAGATCATGAAATTTACTGTGTTCTTTCGTTAACATTTGTACAACGCAACCCTTTTCAACGATAATGATACATTTTAAAGAAGTAAAACAAATAAAAAACGATCAAAATCAGAATGAAAACCAAAAAAAAAAATTAGCGTGGCCGAGGTTGGCAAATTCGCACGATGTGCGCTACCGCACAAATCGAAACAGCGGAGTGTCGTTCCATGAAACTTCAACTTGTGGCACATCGACTATAACTGATAAGTGGACTTTTTAATGGAAGTATAAGTCCTCTAATCAAGCTTCATACTTTCGAACGGCTACAGCTATCAAAAAAAACTTGTAAATCAAGTTGAATTCAATTGTCATAATCGAATTCGAAGCCCTTGTAATTTCCATATATACTGATTTTTTTGAAAGTTTTTCCTTTCAAGGACCTCACTGAACATTGTAAATCTAGCAAAAAACAGATTCTGATTGAATTTATAAAGTTTGCAAACTTTCCCGTTACAAATTTGAAATTTTCTTCTTCGAAATCGGTATTATAAAGCTCAAAGTCATTTTTCCACTTGACTTTGACATAGTCTGACCCTTCTCCATGTCCATTTCGACCTCAGTTGCTAAGAAAAGTGGGCGTGGCCAGGGTTCCAAGCCTTTTCTGTGCTCTGCGTGTTATTATTGCTTATTGCATTTGCTACACGAGCCTCCGCGTCCATTGTTTATTCATCTTAGTTATGACCCTTATGGATGTTTTTTCATCTTCTTTTCACTTTATTAGGAAATAGTCAAGGAAGTAGATTTTTTTTAAACTGAAAAGAAGCGTTTTTTTTAAAGAAAAATTCCAGCGTCTAACTCTAACATTAATAGCAGCAGCAGACAAGAATGAAAAGTTGAAAACTTTTTTGATAATTATACAAATATTTAGGATTTTTCACCTTTTCCCATTGCCAATTCCCCAGCGGAAACTATACAATTTCGAATCTTTTTTGTAAATTTTAGAGGCAAACTTTAAGTCAAAAGAGCAGAGCAATAAAAAGAATGAAGTTCACAAAAAAATTGGCTTTTTTTATTCTTCCTACAGTTTTTTTAATAATTATCGAATTTAAAAAGATTTTTTTCATCTTTTTATTTGCTCACCATCACACGGACCATATCCTACACGTATTAACACGCGCGACACCCACCAGAGGGTGTATGCCGAATATGCACGCCATGCAGCGCAACGGCTTCCGTGGCGCAATAGGCAGCGCGTTCGGCTGTTAACCGAAAGGTTGGTGGTTCGAGCCCACCCGGGAGCGAGACTCTTTTGCCGAATGTTCGTTTTGCTCAACTTGTTACAATGCTTTTGAAACTGCGAAAATTTAATCATCAGCATGCTCCACTTTTGCTTTTGAATGCATAATCCGCTATTGCGTGTGGCTCTAGGCGGGACAAAAGGCGAAAGAGCTACGGTTATGCAAATTTGGCATTGGTCAAATCTGCCAAACGCAGACGGACGGCCTGACAAGTGGGATTAATTGGCAAATTGGAGGCGGAGTCTCCCTTGGGTACGTGCTCAAGACTCGTTTTGCAACGGGGAAAACTCGAATATAGAGTTAGGTTTGAATGACAAAATAAATTTTTATTTTTTTCGGGACTTCAAACTTTCTTGAGAGAAAAGTTGTCAGGCTGGTTTTGATATCAAATAGTTGAATTGGAATTTTTATTAGATTGCAAATCTGAAAGATGAAGAACTTTGATTTTTTGAACCCTTTCCAAAAAAAGAAATGGAAACCAATTCATATTTCTCACCTTTTCTTTTCTTTTCTTTTTTCTTTTTTTTCTGCAAGCTCCCGTTGAAATGAATAATTGCCGCCATTCCACACCCAAAAAAAGAAAAAAGAAAAAAGTTGATCGGAAGAGTTTTTGCTCCATTTTTGAAGGATTTCGGTTATTCTCTTTGAATTTCTCGCATTTACAGCTGCCGAAATTCGGGTTTTCCAAGAACTTTTGCTTCCTTTTCTCTTCAGACAGATCAAAAATGAGTCCTCTCCGTTTTTATGTTTCGAAAAAGTCGTAAAATTGAAGATCCTGAGATGTCCCAGCAGGAGAAAAAAGAAATTATTGTTTTTTGACTCCGCCAAAAAGCCGCCTCGTTTTTTGATTGTGTCCAGGATTTCTGGGGCAAAAAAAAATGGAAATCCATTTTTGGTGGAATCGCTGAACATTCAAGATTTCGAACATGTTTTCGCCGTTTCGGCTCGATTTTTAGTTTTTCCATGGGAATAAAAATTTATATTTCGTTCAAGAAGCTGTATAACTTTCGCTTGAGGCTTTGGTTCAAAAAAAAATTAGCTGTTTTTTAGCAGTTTTTTTTTTTTGAAGGTTTTTGGAAATCTTTGGTCAATTGAACTTTTTGCAAATGTTTTATTTTTTATCAATTTTATTCTATGCCTTGGCGTTCGGTTTTTTTTCATCGAAAAACCAAGAAAAGGCCTTTCTGAAGGCTGCTGACACTCTCTAACATGAGCAATACCCCCTATTTGCGCCATTTTTGAATATTTTTTCAGTCTACCTTTCAACAGTTTTTATGATTTTTCAGAATTTAAAACCCACAGAAGGAATCTAAAAATAGGAAAAGACCGGAAGAAAATCTTCAAAAGCAATCGTTTCCATGTTTCGCCGTATAATTCCTACCTTCGAAAGGCAATATGTGAACAAGGCGAAGATTTACGGTAGACGTATTTTTGGCCGGAAACGGTGCAAGAACCATTAATAATACTCGAGACGGCGGCGGCCACTTACACACGGGCGTGTACTGACTGAACGGCAAAAAGCAGATGTCGGTCACTCGCCTCATTACAGCAGAGGCGTCGGCTTCCATCGCCACACGATTGTTGCCACCACATCTCCCGTAGTTTTGATTCGGCTCCCGTCTCTTCATTGAGCTTGATCGTTTGCATCAGTCTCTTTTTGTGGTAGCTCTAGGTATTCCTCAATTTACTAGGTTGTGGATAGTAGAAGCTCCGTCTGGATCTTCTATTATAACTTGCAGAATCTCCAGAAGCATTTATTCGGCATCACGTCTTGATTAAGCTTCATCGTCATCATGGGTCTCTTTTTGTAATGGTTCTAGGTATCTTTTAAATTTACTAGGTTGTGGATAGAAGAAGCTCCGCCCGGATCCTTATTAAAACTTGCAGAATCTCCCGTTGTTTTGATTCGGCTCACGCCTCTTCAATGAGCTTGATCGGTCTCTTTTTGTGATGGCTCTGAGTATTCCTCAAGTTCACGAGATTCTGTTTAGGATAAGCTTCACCTGGATTCTCAAGTTTGACTGACAGAATCTCCCGTAGTTTCGGCTTCTCTCATGTCTCTTCATTGAGCTGGATCGGTCTCTTTTTGTGATGGTTATGGATATTCTTCAAGTTTACTAGGTTGTTAATAGAAAAAGCTCCGCCTGAATCCTTCATTTCAGCTGGCAAAATCACCAGGAGTTTTGATTCAGCCCCCCTTCTAAATTGAGCTCAATCGTTTATATCGGCCTTTTTCGTAGTAGTTTTGGAGTTATCAGGCTCTGTGTGTGAGAACCATTTTAATCTCCAGTTTGAGCTTCATCTTTTAGAGTCAAATGTCCATTGATTCCGCTTCTCTCACGCCTCTTGATCGTTTGAGTCAGTCTCTTTTTTTGTGATATTTCTGGGTATTTCTCAAATTTAAGAAAGGGAAAGATTCTTTCAGAAAAGTTTCAGTTTAATCATGTAGTTCTAGCTGGACCAGTTGTATTCAATTTTGGGGGCTTTTTTATCATAACAATTAATGGTTTTCGAAAGCTAGTGTAGGTTCTCCAAAATCTTCAAACTCCTAGCCGAATTTTTTCATGACTCAATTCCAAAAAGGAACGCTGTTTGCGATTCGGAAAAGGCTCTCTCAATCTTTGTTGTGTAATGCCCGGAAAATGGCAACAATTGGGTCAGAGATCCCGGAGCCAAAGACTACGAGCAAAAGATATAAAATTGGGACGGGAGCCGGAACGACAATGCATTCCAAATCGCGTCTTGGCCACTCCACTTCCCCCTTTTTTGACCACGCTTTTTTTTCACAATTTGAATCTTGATTTTTTTAAATTTTAGCTTTTAGGCTTTTCTGAGAATCCTAATTGAATTTTGTGATATAAGATAATGACTTAAGAGAATAATAAAATTGTTTCCGATGGTCCTTCGAAAATATTCCAAGATTTTAGCTTACAAAGAAGTTTTTAAAAGTCATCCAAACTCAAATTTTTTCCCACCAGTTTTTAGCCGAAGAGATGAACACGGAAACTTCCAAATTTCGCAATTCCAGTTCTAATGGTCCGATTTGGGTAAAAGAATCTCTGTTCTAAGCTTCAGAACGTCCTTTTCTCATATCGGCTGAAAATTCGGCGTTTAAAGCTTCGAAAAATCCAATTTTCTGCCAGTTTTTGGTTCCAGTTTGACTTTTACAATTACAAAAATTTTGATCCAGGTTATCAGAAATTTTTGCAACGGCGGAAAATAAAATTTGTCGTACGCAGGGCATGAAGAAAAACGCGCAAAAAGTGAAATTGAACGTTTATTATAAATAAAATCAATACTTAGAATGGATTTTTTCATATTATTGCTATTTTTTTGGAGCCTTCCTGAAATTTCAACACAACATGCCTTATTTTTTTAAAAATATCCTTATTTAAAAAAACAAGAAAAAAATATTTGACCTTGAAGATTACTCAGCGAAAAAGTGGCCAACTCGAAAACGGAAGTGAATCCCAGCTTTCCACCAAAACAATCCGTCAAAATACGCGTCTCTTGTCCGCCTTTTTTTGTTCGTTGGGTCACTTTTTGGTCCCAAAAAACATTTTGAACTCTCAGCTGACATTCATGTTTCAGCTAGATTTTTTGTATTAAAATTGTTTTTCGCTTTGGTCCTCTTACGAAAAATTCCTAAAAAATTAGTATATTTTCTGGATATTTCTGGAAAGAGTTTTTTTGTACCTTCATGTATTGGGAAAAACAGTAGGGGCCCCTTAAGAGGCTTCTCAAGGGCTCCTTGGAGAAGACCCTAAAGCGACCACTGAGACCACCTCTATAGGAGCCGCATTTTTGCGTGGTGTAGTGGCCACTCTAGTAGTTTCAGTGTCCCAGTAGTAGCACTTAGACTTCTAGAGGGGCGACTAATCTTTTGCCACTGAAAGGGCCACTAATTCGACTACTACAGTGGCCACTACAAAGTGGAAGCCCTAAAGAGGCCACTAAACATTTTCCCAGTAAGTATATCTATTGAATCCTACGGTTATGTCCTTTTTCCTACTTTCATGTTTTTTCGCCCAAATCTGCATCCTCAACACGAGGAACGGAGCGACCTAATCAAATGTACATATTCATTTGAAAAGAAGGAAATTCGCCCCTCACGTAATTTGTTATTCGTTTGGAGAGTGTTCCCATTTTTTCCCCTCAAAAAGGAGCAGAAAAAAAAGAACTTTTTTCCTCTCAATATTTATTTTTTGTTTGCTCGTTCCATTGTAGTTCCTTGATGACGTCAGATCGAGGATTGGATTCATTAACAATATTTTCCTTTGATTTTTATTGAAAATAAAGATTTTTAAATAGAAGGAGGGGATCATTCAGAACTTTTTTTTAAAAGTTTTGTATCTTTTCTGGGAGATTAAAATACAATAATAATTTTTTTCGAATAAATTCTGACCGTTATCAACAAATTTGATTGAAAAAAATCAAAGTTAAAAGCTTCGGAATAAGTCGAGAATTTTTTTCTTGAATAGTTGGCCCTAAGGTTACCAAGATGTTTATCGTTATTTTGAATATACTTTCATTGAAAATAGTCATAAATTTTTGATTCAAAAAATAATGGTCGCCCTTGGAATGGCTCGTAACGGCTGCAAAGCGGTTGCCTTGAAAGGAACCTTTTTGAACCGCCACGCGACCGTGACGTTTCAATCCATTCCAAGTGCGACCCTTTTTTTCAAATTATACAAAAAGTTTTTTCCTACTGGTCTTTACTGTTTCAGCTCAGGGATTTGAAAAAAATTATTTATTCACGATTTTGTTAGAGTGAAAAACGTCAAAATGCTTCCATAAACATGGAAAATTGGCTTTTTTGGTTACTATCGAAGCGAAGATTTCCGTACTGGAATTTCAAATAGAAAAAATACTCTGAGAAAAGATTTTTTTCCCAAAACATAATATTTCATTTTTTTGCTGGGAACAGCCATGTATATCAACAACAACAACAATCTTTGGCTTCAGCTTTTTGAAAAATTATAATGAAAAGCTTCAGGTTCTCATATTTTCTAAATTTGGAATATTTTAACGAATATTCATATTTCTTATAAATCTTATTTTTCCTCTCATGTTCGAAAGAACTGTAGAGTAGTCTCTTATTTGTTGCGGAATTTAGGAAAAAAAAAGAGAATAAAGGGAAAATTGACTGAAATCTTCAAGTCGCATTTGCATAACTTCAGGCAATCATATCGCATTGTTACACATGGCCCGATTTTCCCACTTTTCTCCATTTTTTCTCGTTCTTTTTTTGTTGCCTTTTCTATTTTTAAACCAGAGTTCTCTATTTATTTATCTAAATTTGGAAAAAAAGAGTTTTTTTTTATCTCAGAAAGCTTCAGAAAAGCCTGATCAAGGGATTTTCGTTAGTAAAAAAGTTCTCAAAATCATTTTCCTGTGAGTAATCTATTAACATTCTTGGATTACAGTGGTTATAGCCAATGAAAAGGTTTTGCGCCCGACTTTAAGCGACTTCTGCTTCTCTCACGCTAGAGCGTACCGCTGCGCGTAATAGTTTCCCGTCGGGCGCGCTGAAAGTTTTGAAACCTCTGGAAAAAAGAGGCTTTCACTAATCTAAAGTAATTCGTTTTTTTCAAAGTTCAAGTAGGAATCGCTTTAGTTTAATCGGGAATCTTAGTAAGCTACCAGATAAATAGGTAAGGTCTCGTCGCGAACTCTACAGTACCTCTGAACCTTTGAACATCCCAGAAGTATGAATTTTCTAGCAAAGTATACTAACTTCCAAAAAAGAATTTTCACACGAAACCACTTTTTCGTACGAAAAAAAGGTATTCCTGACTTTCGGGAGGAGCCAATAATAGAGGGCCGAGTGGCGGGACGAAGGTGTTTGGCTTCTGTTGACCCAAGTATCACATTGCTTTTACCTGTTTGCTTACCTGTTCCCAAGCTTTTGCTTCCAGAAAACCCTCCCTTTCCCATTTCTTATATCGTCTTTCCATTTGACTCTTGTTCCTTCTTGCTATGTCTTTATTGTCTTCGAAAATTCCTTCGAAAGTATAAAATCGTTTCAGGATCAGACATGACGGCAGTTCCGTGCTCCAGAAGCCTGGCTGATATTCGAGCTGTTCAGGTTCGAATTTTCAAGTTTCTGGAGTATTTTTTTTTCTAGAAAGGTTCTATGACTATAAATCTCATAGTGAAGTCAGGAAAATATTGAAATGAACTTGGGAACGCCAGAGCGGTCCCTAGAGGGGTTCGGGAAAAAAATACCCTAGAGGGGACAGGTCAGAGCTCCCTAGTGGGTCCCCATAGGAGTTTAGAGTCTCACTCTTGAGACGCTAAAGTTTAAGGGGTCCCTATAGGGGTCTTTTGATTTAAGTGGTCCCTATAGAGGTATTTTTTTATAAATTGAAATTTAAAAAAACGCGTTTTTTTAGTACATGAGGCCCGTATAGAAAAATGAGAATAAGACAAAAAAATATTTTTTTGAAAAAAAGTTATGAAATATCGTCAAATCTTGAGTAGGCCGTTGCAATGTTTTTTTAAAAAAAGTGACCTTTTTCGATTTCGAAAACCCTTTTTCTTGTCCTTTTGCTGACGGGAAAAGAGGATTCTTTCAAAAATGTTTTCCTCGAAATTGAGAAACAGTTTTTTAGGCCGGAGATAAGATTTAGAAAATCATTTTTCTGAGCTCTTTATTTCTAAAGAAGAAAAGTAACATGATAACAAAAATAAAAACTTGTTACAAATTTAACCAAGTTTATTCTAGAACTATTCAATTTGCAGGCGGACAACCTGGACAGACTGAGGGACTCTCTTCAGCAGGTCAACATCAAGGATCTGGTGCCGCTCCTCGTCGCTCGGAACGTCCTCAAGTCCTACGAAATGGGCGCCGTTTATGCCAAGGTGAAACTTATCAACAACAAATTTTGGAATTTTCGCGAACTTGCTGAAAAACTCTCTGAAGGTTTAGATAATGATCCCTAATTTTTTTGATCTGCACCAGCTCATATTTTTATAAATATGATTTTTTAAACTTGCAAAATATTATTTTTAAGCCTAAATTTTCAAACTTTGAATGAAACTATCTCAAAAACTAAAAGTTGGACCAGGTAGAGACTATGAGGCTATAACCTTTCAATAGTGTTTGAGCAAGTTTATAGAAAGTTCCAGGTCACAAAGGAATTGACCTACTTATAGGGCCTAATACTGTGTTTAAACTGCGGTCTCTGAAAATTGACTGGGAATTTTCAGTGGTCACTAGAGGGTTTTGATGTTTTAGTGGCCACTTAAGGGGTTTAAATTTAGTGGCCACTATAGAAGTCTAAGTGCTACAAAATTTTTAGTGGCCCCTTTAGGAGTCGATGGATCAACATAACTGGTCCAATCTGTTTGTGTTATAATTACCAGAGTTACTGGAGGGAATACTGGATGAAAAACTACTGAAGTGGCCACTAAAAATTTTTCCAGTAAGGCCCTAAAAACTAAAATTTTGCGCAGATAGAAAATATTAAGAATCTTCATCTAGACCTTGAAAGTTTTTTTGAACAAATTCCAAACCGCAAATTGAAAAGACTTCTCTTGTAAGCATAAGGTTGACCGGTCAGAAATAAATAATTAATAATTTATATTTTTCTCAATGACAAATTCTGAAAGTTGAGAAAAAGATAAGTCATATTTTTTTATTTCACGTGAAAAATCTCCTTTTTAAGTTTAATTTCAAAAAGTTTGTGAAAATACGTTTCAAAAAAAGATTCAAATAATTATGTGATACGTGCAGCTTTTCGTTGAGAATTCGATGAGCATCACTCAAAAATCTTATTTAGTCACTCTAAAAAACCATAACTCTGTTTCAGTCGTTCGTTCTGAAATCAGAAAAAGAGTGTTGTTGGTTACATTTAGGATTTACTAGGAAAAAATGATGTTGAAGTTTGAGTACAATTGAAATTATAACCGATTTCGTCGGTTTTCCTCGGTTATTCTAACCAGAGAACTTTTTTATTTTCTTTGTTTGTTCTGAAATCAGGAGGTCCTGAAGTAAACTTCAGCAAAGTTTCAGCAAAAGTTCAACCAAGAGGGGTTTTTTGAATATTCTTGGAATTACTCTGACATCGGTAACGCATTTATTTCAGGCTTTTATGCCAATCCTTCCCTTCTTTTTACTGTGCATGTTATTTCGTTCTGCCTGTAAATAAATTATTTTTATAACGCAAACGGGACGCGCCCCGGCCGCTTCTGTGAACTTCTAGGAACCACTCAAAAGTGTTGAAGCCGCTTAAGTTATCACTAGAAAAGCTCAGAAACGTGATTGCGATTTTTGTGAAGTGAAACTCTTTTGTCGCAGTTGGAAGGATGCGAAGTGGCAGCTCAAAAACATTTTTGAAAACATTCTGAGCATAAAGAAATCAGAGAGACCGCAACGCGACCGCGACGCTTTGAGCCATTCCAAGTGCGACCAAATCTTTCAAAGTCGCTGTGAATCAATTATGGAAATAGTTTTACATTTTCCACGGTTCCCGGTTTCGGCTACTGTTGTTAATGGAGGAAGTTCATGGAAAATTGATATATTATGTATAAAACAAATTTTCACCTTCCTTCTCATTCTTATTCTCATTATTATTTTTTAAATTGATGTCTTGAATCCAAGGAAATTTCTGCAAGGGTTTTAAATTGACTTTTTACTATCCTTTTTGTTACTTTTCCAGAAAAATTTTTAAAAAAATACGAAAACAAATCTTTTTTTCTATTGGACTAAATGGAAAATATGAGTATAAGAGCATGAAAAGTTTCGAAAAATCCATTAAAAAAACAAAAATTTTTTGCGAAAAACCAAAGCTCAAACGTCAATTTATTCTTCAATTTCTTTGCATTAGCTATTCCTCGGAGTAGTTTTTCTTCTGTTTTTGAAAATATTAAAAAAATAAAAAGGATTTTTTTATTGTACTTTACGCCGCAATACTTTGAATAGCTTCCTCAAAACTTTTATGAATTATTTATAACTTTTTTTCAAAGATCCTCTCGGTTTGAACGATTTTTTCAAAATACATTATTCACTTTTTTGACAATTACCAGATCTTCCATGATTTTTTCACAAGACTTTTACTTTCAGGGAAACTCCGAAGCCCAACTCGACGCTCTGATCGAGCTTCTGAAAACGAAAAATCACTGGGTCGGCCCAATGACCGACGCTCTTATCCGCAACGGACAGGTTTTTCAATTTCTTTAAACTCAAGAATGCCAGAGTGGTCCCTAGAGGGATTAAGAAAAAAAACAGCCCCTATAAGAGACAAGATAGTGCTTGCCAGAGGGCTGAAATTAAGAGGATCTTTAAGGTATTTAGAAGCTCCTAGAGCTTGAGTGATCCCTAGAGTGATTCCTACAGTGGTCTATAACTTTTTGTGTTTTAAAAATTATGAAGAAATTTTTCAAAGAAACTTGATCGATTGAACCTTTGTTGATTTTTTAAAGTTTTCAAATAACGTTAATTCATTGAGTTTTTTGCAATTTTTGACCCTCTAGGGACTAATAGCATGCTACCCCAGAGGGGTCCCTTTTGCAAGCTTTAGTGTCCTCTATAGGGCAGGTAAGGTGATCATAAGAAAAGAACTTTCAAGTTCCCCCTCTAGGGACCACCCTGACCCTTTTAAGAACCTTTTTAACCTCATACAACTGAAAGAAGCTTTGGGAAAAAAACTACCAAGAGAGAAAAATACTTCCAAAAAAATTAGGAGTCAAAAAAAGAATGAATCAAAATTAAAGAGAGATATTTATGAAAATTTTCATTGTAAAGTGAAAAATTCATTTTGGCTCTTGAAACTTGGATAACAAATTAGAGATTGTTTCATTTTTTTATAAAGGCGATCTGAAAAAGGGAACGTGATTCGCTTCAAAATTTGGAAAAAAATTTCAGAAAAATATCCCTAAAATTTTTGTAATTTGTTCAATTTATCAGCTCCAAATTTGTAAGAAGTGAGTTGAAATTTAATTTTTTTGCGAGGTGAAACAATTTTTTTCTCATTCTCTATTTTTTTCCGAGTGATTTTTTTCGAAATTTCAATCAAATTTTTTTGTAAAACTCTTTAAAACGGAATATATTTCTTTTTGAAAAATTTTTTAGTTATCTTGAAAATATGGTGACATGCTATAAATTACGGGCGTTTACAAAATGCGACCGGCGCGACTGCCTATAAAACGCGACCGCTTTTTTTGTGCTCCATTGAAAATTAATAAAATATGGGCGTTTTTTTCAATTTTGGTTATTATTTTAAAATTACACGGAATTATAATTTTTTCGACAGCTTTCTGATCAGTATAGTGGTGTCTTTTTTGTATTTTTGATAGTACCTTTCATTAAACGATTTTTCAAGATTTATTTCGTCCCGTATCCAATTTTTCAATAGATTCCGGTTTAATACAGATCCATGAACTATGAGAAAATTGTTTTAAAAACATCCTAATGAGAAGCCTCCGTTTTTTGAGCAATTGAAGAAAAATTTATCATGATGAATTCGTTAATTTTGTCGTAGTACTTTTTTTAAAATAGTTTTTCTTTGAAAGGAAAAGATAGGGGATAATACAAAATTTGAGAAAAATTACCAGAAAAGGCGAAATAGATAAGACCGAGAAACGCCTGTATTTTGATAATTCGCAGTGGAACACAAAAAAGCGGTCGTATTTTATAGACCTTCGCACCGGTCGCATTTGGTAAACGCCCGTACTTTATGACATGCTGTTCAATCAATATATTTATCAATCAATATTTATTGGTTGTTTTAGTCAGATGGAATCGACTAGGAGGGGAAAAATTGCTCTTTTGAGCGGCACTAACACCGCCTTTGGCGAAAAAGAAGTCAAAACGTGTAGTCGATTGAATTGAAAGCATGGTCTTACGGTCCTTCGCCTCGTTCTTCCACAAGTAGATCCCTCAGTTTCGCGGGTACGGGCACGGCGGAGATGATGGGGCTCGGGCACGGACGCCTCGTGCACGACTCTAGAGTAGCCTGACCGACTTTGAAAAGAGTGATGAAAAATACACGGAATTACCTATTAACACTACTGATAGGAAAAACACTATTGTACAGTATCTATTAATTTTTTTTTTGGTGTTACCAAGAACTTCTAATGTAATTGAAACAGTTAACAAAACTTCAAAAAAAAGTCAACTGATTTTGTGTTGAGTTTGAAACCGGAAAATCATCAACATTTCCATTTTCATTTTACAGGCCCCGATCGCCAAGCTTCTTCTTCAAATGCAGCAAGCTAAAGCCTAAAAAAACTAAATTATTCTTCATTTTTCTATCCTAATTGACCAATTTCCCTTTATCTATCATTTTGTACAGTTTTTCTCTATCCTCTCGCAAGTCACTTTCTTCCAGCCCAAGGCTGTTTCGAATAAATATTTTTTCTTGCCTTGAAAGTTGTTCATTTATTCGGAAAACAAAAAAAAAACCCGTCGGGAAACAAGCTCAATTTGGTCAAAATAGTAAAATGTTCTGAGAAACAGGTGGAATAAGAAGAGAATAAAAAAATAATAAATGGAGGATTTGAAAAAAACTGTATTGAAACAGGAATTTTATTGATGAATGATATAACGAAATTTTTTGTTGAGAAAAAAATAAAATTTCGAAAAAGTTACAACAGAATCAATCAGCTTAAAAGTTTGAAAATCAGAATTTATTGATTTTATCACTAAAGCTGTCCTGGAAGCCATGGTCGCATTTAGAATGGCTACAAAACTTGAAGACGCGCCTGACTTGAAACGACTTGCGCGCCGAAGCATGGCTAGCTTAAAAACGCGACGTTTTGAGCCATTCCAAGTGCGACCAAGCTCTTTCAAGGTAAAAGGGCTTCTCTAGAAAATCTATACTATCAGGATTAAAAATGAATCTGAAGGAAAACTCAACCAATTTTGAGTTTTAAATTCGGAAAAATACAATTTTGGATCATTCCTCATTGACACAGACGTCAATGGTTCTATAGATTGGTTGGTTATTGTTTGAATTTATTAATGCGGATTCCAGAAGAGTTTCCGCCGTGTCCGAATGGACCATCCCGTTCTCTTCTTCCTGAAAAACGGGTCTTTTTCTGAATTACTGTTTCACGATTTTCATAGAAACGCTTAAGGTATCTTGAAGCTCAGTAATTACTTTATGAGAAATTCCTCATTTAAAAAAAGAAACAAAAAAAGTTTCGCAATAAGCAATGATCTAAAAAAATTTTTTTCAAAAAGTTATTTTTCCAATTTTTTTAATACTCGATTTTTCAATTCTGACCCCCCTCTTTTTTTCAACTATGGTTAGATGAAAAAAAGTAAAGGACTTCAAAGTATTAAGAAAATGATGGAAATTTCCTTCCGTCTTCAAACTTTTTCCTTGACCGAAATAAACATCTTCGAATTTAAAAAAAGGTTAAAAAAAATACAAAAAGGGGACAATTTTTTTCATACGATATCTACTCATGAACTTGAGAGAAGGTAGTAAAATTCAGAAATGAATATTTTTTTAAAGGAATATTTTTCTACGTCTTTTTCGGGTCATAAATTCTGAGATTTAAGATTTAAAGAAAACAACACTTTCGAAAAACTGTTTTTAGCCATGAATTTGAAGAGAAAAAGCCCTGAGAATTCTCAAAAAAAATTTTTTTTAGAGCTACTGATCCATTTGAAGGTTTGAAAAAAATCTTGAGAATTTTTCTAGAATTTTTGAAAAAAAGAATCAAAAAAAAACCCCTTTCTACGGTCCCTAGCTATGATTTTTGAAGGTTAAAGAAACCCTGAAACATTTTTTTCTTCTCTTTAAATTTTAATATCTTCATAAAGAGTCCCTAATTCATCGATTTGAAGGTTCAAAAAAATCTTTGGAAGCCTCTCAAACTATAAAAAAATCAATCATAAAAAAATATTCTAAAAAAATTCTAAAAAGAAAACGGAGTTTCAACGCCCCTACTTATGATTTAAAAATTTGAAAAGTACTTCAAAATATAAAAAATTCGCAAAACCCCTTCCAACGGTCCCTAGCCATAGATTTCTTAGAAGAAGTTGTGAAAGATGAACTCACGCCCTTCTTGAGTTTCCTCCTAATGCAAGTGGCGCACAAGATGCAGCTCGAGGCGACGAGCATTCCCACCAGAATACACACCAAAACCGCCAGGAAACCCGAAAAGTGCGAGTGCGACGGCACTACTCTCTGTAACGCTACTTCTATAGGGTTTTGGATTGTTTCGGTATTTTTTTCAGTTTTTATTACTCCCTGAAACGCAGAACCCTACCGGGAAGCTTCACTTCGATACGCGCGGCCTGTCTCTGTGTAGTCGCACTAAAACTCTATAACTTGTTCAACCTTTTTGTTTCTAAATTGTAAGACCGGAAGGAATACTGGATGAAAAACTACTGAAGTGGCCACTATAGAGGTGGGTTTTGTGGCCGCTTTAGTGTCCTCTCCAAGTAGTCCTTGGCGAGCCTCTATAGTGGCCACTAAAAATTTTACCAGTACAACGAACATTTCAGGCCAACTTTTTTTTCCCAGAATGCCAAAATTTTCCATGAAACTCCTACGTTTTCTTCAATTATCCCTCTAAACTATGATACAAACATCTCTCTAAATAATCTGATGGGAGTTTTTTCACCGCCTCCCAATTATTTAGCCGAAAATTCCCATTATATTAAAGGCGCATGCACAGGGACAGGTCGCGTGTATCAAAGGGAAGATTCCTGGAAGGGTTCTGAAACTCGAAGGAAAATAAACTCTAGGCAAGAAAGGAGAGAAAAATAAACTCGGAGGCTATTTTCTAGAAAATTCGGTCGGTTCGTAGTCTTTACTCATCATTTTTTTGATTTTTCAAAGTTCGAAAAAAATATTTTTCCATTTTTTTAAAAGTTTTTAATTAACGGCTCAACACATATTTTTGATGAATAAAAACAGTTTTGAAGCCTAACTTTTGGTCATTAAACTTTTTCCCCAAATATAAAAAAATTCTCTCGAATCTATTAAACATCATTTCGTTTATAAATTATTCTGGAGCGATAGATTTTCGAGCTTTCCAAAGGTTTCAACTTGAACTTCAACTATTTCTCATAAAATCTTTTTTTAACTCTCAAAAAAAATCCATTTATGATCTTACAAACATCCCTTCAAAATTTGCCAAATCAGATTTTATTATTCGAAAAAAATAATTAAATAATTCAGATTGTTCTGGTTTAAATCAATAAAGAATGAAAAAAATCTGAAAATTTATAGAAGCAATGAAATGGTAACTTAACGTTTCTCAGTTTTTTTAAAACTTGTCAGATTTGAATTAAAAAAATAATAACTCAATAAATAACTCCATTCACAATGGAAATTCAGAAAATTGAAAATAAACTGACCACATTATTCAGATCCATATGGAAGGTGGATAGAGGTAACACGCTGGTCGGTGGGGCATTTATTTTGATTTTTTCGGCTTCAATTTTGAATCTGAACTGAATTTTTAGTTCGATCGTGTCTTAATTGAGATTATCAAGGTTGTTTTAAATAAAAATCAACAAAAGACGGTCTCTAATAATGAATTATAAGCTTTAATTGAAGAAAAATGAGCATAATTCAGACCAAAAAAGGAAATTCCTCCATAAGATGAAATGCAAAATAAAAGGCGAGGAGAATAAAAATGGAAATTGAGACGTTCTGCTTTTCGTTTTTTTTCCGTTTTTCTTGTGAGCATTAAAGGAAAGTGGGCGTGGCCAAGGGTGGTGATAAACGAGGCAAATTGGACCCTGGAGGAGCCATTTCGAGCGCAAGAATGATCGAGTTTTCGACCCAAGCGACTCGGTCCGTTTTTATTGGAAACGAAGGAGAAAAAAAAAAACTTCGATGGGATAATGGATAGCGACCCGGAAAAAAGACGATGCTCCACAATTTTGGCTCTATTTTCCTCTTCTTTCTCAGACGACACGCGTCCGAGTGTTTTCGGGGGAGTAATGGACCCGAAAAAACAATGAGGACAACTTCGGAAGGATTTTCCAGAAGTCAACACTTCCCTTGGAAGCTTTTCCTATGGAGGAAGAGTTGGTTATATTATATTATATAAATATTATATATATCAGGGCGTTTTTGACGTTTTGGGGGCCATTATAGTAGTAAAATGAGTGGCCACTAATGAGGTCTGAGTCCTACTTTTAGACTACAAAAGTTTTAGTGGCCACTTTAGGGGTCAATGGATCAACATAACTGGTCCAAACTGTTTGTTTCAAAATTATCAGAGTTACTGGAAGGAATACTGGATAAAAAACTACTTTAGTGGCCACTAAAACGGAAAATAGTGGACACTGTAGAGTCCTCTCCAAGTAGTCCTTGGCGAGCCTCTATGGACTATAGTGGCCACTAAACATTTTCCCAGTAAGAGCAAAATTTCTGTCCGCCGTATTGCCAGAGGTCTATACGACGAACAGAAATTTCTCTACGCAATTTTCTGCGCGAACGCGGCGCAGTGCATGCACACGACACACGACACTTTACGAAGAAAAAGTAGGCGTGGCGTCGTCGAAAAAACGTTATATACAGTATACTCCTTAAAAAAAATTTTGGTTACAGTATACCGATCAAGTATTTTCAATGTCCTATATGAAAGTGGACTGTGGATCATAGTAAAGTTTATTTTACTAGATTCTTTTTGACTCTTGACGTTGATAATTTGATTTTTTTTTTCAGTACTGATAAGGTTTTTTGAAGTCTTATGAATATCCTATTTACATTGGATGCTCATGGTCGCATTTGGAATGGATTGAAGCGTAGCGGTCGCGATGCGGTCCGTTTATTAACTCTATTGTAAACTTTTTTTCCATTTCAAAAAAATTCCCTTTTTTTCACGCTTCAAGAACTCATTAATTTTTTTGGAAAAGATATGAAAAAAAGGAGATTGAAGTCTAAAAAAAGCAAAAATTATAAAGCTCTAAAATTCAAGGTGACCGCGAAAAACTGAAAAAAACTCAAATTTTAAAAAAAATTCACAGATAATGGAGGCTTTAATCAGCAGAAAAAAAAATCACAAAACTAAAAAATCTTAAACTTTCACCAAAGAAATTTGACATTCATTTGAAAATTCGTCTTTCATTTGAGTTGTACTATCACAAAAAAACCAATCTCAGAAAAAGATCTCTAAAAGTACAAAAAAGGACATTTGAACAAAATTCAAAGCAATAAAACCATCCGTTTCAGAAAAAAAGGAAGTGTTTCTCTGTACTCCGCAAGATTAGAAATGAGGAGTCCAGAAACAAGAATCCCCATGAGTTTATCTGAAAAAAGCGGCTTGCCAATCCGAAAAGCCTCGATAAAACTCCAAACTTTCCATCAAAAATTATTAAATCTTCGTTATTTATGCCAAGAAACATAAAAAAACGTCTAAAATGCAAAAAGCCAACTTTGAACCTTTTAAGATTTTGTTTTGAAAGCCTTTTCCTCATCCATTAGCACTGGACTTTTTTTTTGCTCGAGAAAGGTGGTTTTTTCAGAAAAATTGATTTCTTTCCTTCCAAGGAGCATTTTTCAAGTTTGATAATGTGACAATTTATTAAGCTCCGCTCATAAGTTTATTTCAAGAGAATTAATTAATGACGCACATAATTCTGATACTCAACTTTTTAAAAAAATGTATCTACTGATTTTTTTAAATAATTTTTTTGTATTTAAAAAAATTGCTGTTAATAATAATAATAACAATATAATAACAACTAGCAAAGAACATGTTTAGGGTTTTTTTTCGCATCGTTTTTGGAATGGCTCAGCGTATTAGGTCGGCCATCGGTTGCTTCGAAACGCGCCCGACTCAAAAACGACTCGCGCTCGATGTGAAATAGAGCGCTTCAAGCCATTCTAAGTGCGACCAGCGATTAATTTAGCAAAGAAGAGAGTTAAATTTCGAGTAAAATTGCATATGTAACGACTCAACATGCCAATTCTCTTGCATTGAAATCGTGAAAAATGGAATTTGGCAGCGAGACATTTCCCACCTCGACGAAGCTCCCAGTACTTTGATCTTCTTTATTTTTTCAATTCTCTGAAAAAGCCTGCTCCAAAAAACCTGAAATGACTCTCGCTCAATGTGGAAAAGACCGCTTTGTGTCATTCCACGTGCGACCGAAGAGTTTCAATGGACAGCGAAAAGAGTGAAATTTCAAATATCAAAATCTTGTAGAAAAAAATCAAAAACAAAAAAATCAAGAAAGACAAAAAAACGAAGAAACCTTTTTTTCTCATGAATGAACAAAAAAAGCGAACAGATGATGTGCGGAGAGCACGTCCCAGGGGCTCTCCGGACCTCGACCTACTACACTTTTTTTCTCAAAATTCTTCTTTTCGTCGGGATCTTTTGACATTTAAACGAAAGTTATTGATGAGTGCATGGGCGGAGGTCATTTGTTAAAAAGTCAGTGAAAGACGAAAAAAAGAAGAAGATCAAAGTACTCGGGAGCCTCGTCTAGGTGGGAAACGTCTGGCTGCCAAAATCCATTTTTCACGATTTCAATGCAAGAAAAAATGAATTTTCCACACAGACTAGCTATTTTTGACGAAAGTCTGAGTGGAACTCGATCCGCGGATGAATATGGAAACTTCTCGACAACTAAATCAAATTTGGACGCGAAGATGCTTTTATGGCGGAGGATCAGCGAAAAACTCAAAGTTCTTCTTTATTTGGATTTTTTTTGCTCTTTTTTATCACGATCTTGGAAAAAACTGTAATTATCTTTTTTTCTTTCATTGAAACCTGCAATGAAACAGCGATGTGTAGAAAAAAATTATTCTCATTTTGAAGCCTTTTTTTATAACTGAAGCTGAATTTAAAACCGATTAATCCGAAATTTCGAAATTAAAACCGTTAAAGGCACAATTAGATTTCACATTTTACCCTTAATAAAATTTGAAATTGTAAAAAAACTACTTTTCATGAGTTTACCTTAAAAAGAAGGGCCAGAAAATTAATAATTTTTTTTTGTTGTTGAAAATTGAATTTGAAAAAAATTATGAGAGAATTTTCAGTCAAAAATAAAGCGAAAAAATTTCCACGGGAAAATCAAAATTAATACTTTTTTTGCAAAATTTGTGAGAAATTTATAGTGTGTGCGAAAATTATACCTTTCTTAAATTATAGGGGAGATTGTAGAAAAAACTGAAACTTTTTTTTTTCGAAAAAGACGAGTTTTAATACACAAATCGTTCAAAAGCCAGGTTTGTTGCAAAATCAGAATAGTTCAATCATTGAGATTAAACGAAAATTTGGAAAAATAGGAAAAAAGGAAGTTACGAAATAGATTGTCGCGAAAAAAACCAAAATTTAGTGATTTAGATGATGTAAAAAGTTTTTTTTAAGATTTTTGAAGCAATTTCGTGAATTATTCCTAAATTTTCCAGGAAAATACATATATTCACCATTTGTAAAATGGAAAAAAATTGACAGTCATCGTATATAAATAAGCTGATTAACTTGAAAACCCAATTAGGCACCTAATTGATGATTCAAACTTCCAAAAAATATGAATGCAAATGGACCAGGAAGCTTGAAGAGGTGTAAATTACAAGAAATATCCGAATAAACAAAATTAACTTCTTAAAAATAACAGACTTTAAAGGCTACACTTATTTTTTGAAGTCATCAGACAGACGTCTCTTTTCGCATTCGAATATTCTCGGCGAATACGAAATGAGTGTTCCGAAAAAAAGGTTTTCAACGACTTTTTCCATCTTCCAGCACGCAAAAACATTCCGAACGCTAAAACATGGTAAAGAGATTGGAAATTCTTCGAAAGAAGTGCATTGCAACAAAAAGTGAGACAAAAGTAGGCTTATATGTCAGTCAAAACGCTTGCGTCCAGAAATTCTTGGTCTCTGTTATGAATGTCAAATTCCGTTTAGACTGAAAGAAGTCCGCCTACGAACAAGAGAGAATAAGTTGGAAAAAGAACGGATGGAAAAAAAGAACCACCGAAAAGTCAAAAGATGAAAACTGAGAACATTTGCATTGGAATCTGATACAAGCACTTTGCAACGATTAGCAAATGACTTTTTGATATGCTCAAAAATGAAAATTTCAAAGGTGGAAATTTAAGACATTTGTCTTGTTGAAATTGAATATCCATCAAACAATAAAAAATAAGTGCACATTGCAAAATTGAATAGAAACACCAAAAAAACCTTGCGTAGTGAAAAAAAAAGAAATTAGAGAACATGTTAATTTTTATAAATTTGTTTTTTTTTTTGAAGAAAAAGCTAGCGAAATCAAGCTCTTCCACAGTCCTAGTCGGATTTTCGGCGTACGGTAACGCAAACTTATGCGCCCACACAAGAGGAATATCACACGATCTGTTTTTCAAAAAATTTTCGGCGTCATTTTTCTGTTTCTTTCAGATTCTGAGAAACCTGTCTATTATAAACTTTTTATTTGAAATCTTTCGGTACTAGTAAAATTGAATCGCAGTGATCGGATTTAAACTTGGAAGCGCCCTGTAAAAATTCTGAGTTCTTTTAAAACACCACTTGTATTAAACTGACCGCTCGTATAAAGAATCTTCCATTGTAAGCATAATACATAATAATATCAGTTCTAAGCTTAAAAATTATCAAAATATTAATTGAGATAATTTAAAATCTTCGCTTTTTTCCCCTGTTTTTCCTACGATTTTTTGAAGACATTGATACAAAAGAATTTATGATCGCTTTTTTTATAGCGTCTCGCTGTATTGACCGCCCGTTTTTGGCAACCATTATATTTATTGATTGTCTAGAAACAAAAATGGACGCTTGGGTGCAGTTCTTTTTGCGAGCCGGAATCCCGGATGGCGTCGCCAACCGTTACGCAAAAACTTTTCATTCAAATAGGTAAAGTAATAAAAAAAATAATTTTTGGAAGAAAAGTTTTTAGAATAACTCGGGAAATGTTGCCAGATTTGGACAAGTCAACATTGATTGATCTGGGCGTTGTCACTGTGGGGGATCAGGTTGGTTTTGAAGGGAGATGGTTTTGAAAAATCTGTTCAGCTCGCGATTTTGCGACGAAGTAAAGACGTGGGAAGAACTTTGAGCGTCCAGCAAGGCCCGAAGTCCAGAATCAGTGGACCTGGAGGTTTCGGAAGGAAACATAATGAAAAAAGAATATTTTTTAGAAGTTAGTTCAACGGCAAGTGAGGCTCGACGAGGACGGCCGCCTCCGGATAGCCATGAGATTTATCATATCAAAATGCCCGATGGAAATACTTTGAGAAGTCAGAAAATCCTGAAAAAGGCTGAAATGATGCGGCGTAAAGGTTTGGCTTCGTTTATTAGTTTTTCAAGAGGTTTCAAAGTAGAAAAGGAGATGTGATGTACAGATTATAAGAAAAGGAATTTTTTCTTGTTTTGTGTTCAAAAATTTGATAAACGCCCGTTTTTGAGATTTTCATAGAAATGATGAGTTTTGAGGGAAAATATTTTTGTCAATTTTTTTCATATAACAGTTTTTACAAGTTTGTTGTAAATGAATATGGTCTTCTCATTCCAAGTTTACAGTTTCTCTAGGTTTTTGAATATGTTTCGTTATTTTTCGCTTTACTAAAGTAGAAAGATTCCGATTCCGAAATTTTTGTATTTCTTTTTTGAGCTTAAATAAATATATTCAGTTTCGACATGGAAGCTAAGGAAAAAATAAAAAGATTTCGTTTTTTCAACCTATTGACTAATAGGAGATAACTGTAATTTTATAAAAAATGTGAGAGCGATTTTCTGATTGATATCAAAAGAAGGTTTTGAAAAATAAATAGTCTTCTTTCCAGGAGTAGCGGTCCGGGGAACGACGGGAGTCCGTCGGGCGGGAAGATCCGTTTCTCCGATCGATAAGACCAGTGCTGCTGCGAGGCTTCGTAGAGATCCAGGTTCACTATTTTTGATATTCAAAGTTTCAAAAAATATCTTTTTTTTAAAGAAACGTTTCGATTATTCTAATTTTTTTCGAAAAAAATCGAGTTTTTTTGGCGGTTTTAGGGGTTATGGTCTGAAGTGGTGCCTATGGGGGTCTTTTGCATTTTTTTGTTTATTATGAAATAATAATTTTTAAAGAATTATTTAATAAAACTGGATTATTCCCCTTCGAGTTGCCACTTTTAAAATTTTTGAAGCTTTTGAGCCCTAAGATTGCCCCCTCTAGGGACCCCTCTGACGTTTCTATGTAGTATGAATGAGCGAATTGTTTCCAGAAGTGTCCTCGTCCAGCGATCGTCTGGTCCAAAGACTCGGGGTCCGCGGTCTCCACAGCGACGCTCTGCCGCCGGGAAAAATCCATCAAATTGGTCGCCTCAACAGAGGAAATCTGATTAGGTTATATTTTGAAGGAAATTTGATCACTCAAAAGTTTTGTAGATAAGAGTTATAGTTTTGTAACAGCTCCATTTGGTCAGAAAATATTTTCTTTAGCGATTTTAGCGATTTCTGTCATTTTAAATCAAAAATTTTGGTCTTACCAGTTAGAAGCTTAGTTAGAAAAAAACATTCTGTAGAATTTTAGTAGCTGGAACAGGTCATCATGATTTTTTAACTTGATTAAAAGACTTTCAGTGTATTCACTATATTTCTGTTTGAATGTGGGTATTTTGAATGAAAGAAATAAAAAAAAATTTTTCACCTTTTTTACTGCTGTTTTTATGCAATTTAAAGTTTATTTGAACAATGGAATGGCTTACAATCTGCTTCCCATGACTTTTCAAATATGAGAACCATCAGATGGAAAAAAAAAAATAGAAAAGCGACGTTTAACTACAACATATCTGTCTTTAAAGTTCTGGTTTAAACAAAAGTTTGTGTTCAGAAAAGCTGGGGCGAAACCCACGAGTGGCTTGATTTCTCGAGCTCTTAACGCTACTGCAGATGAACCTCAAGGTTTTCGGCTCACGATTGGATCTGTCAAGGTATTTTTTGAGTTTTTCTAAAATTGTTACCTCAAAAAAGCGTTTTTACATCGTATCTTTCAGTGTCAATTTTACTATTTATATTGAAATACAAACTGGGACAAAAAAATAAACGCACAGGGTTTTTTTAAAATTGATTTTGAGAACCTTTTTTTGGGATTTTTGGATCTCAAACTTGATAGAATCGAAAAAAATTCGGGACAAGTTTGCGAGTTCCTTTTTAGTTAAATTATTAGATAGGTTTTTTTAGTTTTTTGTGCTAGAGAAAACAAATCAGCTTAACCAGATATATCTAGTCCTAAAATTCCTAAAAGTAGCATTTTTCAAGTTTTTTTTTTTTGCTTATAAACTTTGATAGAACCGAAAAAATAGGGAAAAGCTCGCAAATTGAGTTTTGTTTGTCCTATTTGATCAGTTTCTTCCTTTTTCTGCTAATGAAATTAACGAAATCTTGATCAGATTCCTCTAGTTTTAATACTTATTTTTCAGTCTCGAACCACTCTTCCACAAGTTTCGGTGGACCGCAGGACGGGAAATCGAGTTTTGGTGACAAATCAACAAACTGTTCGAAGAGTGGCTTCTCTTGCGCCCGGCCGTTCTAACAGGGTTCATTTTTTATCTTGAAAAATATTCTAGACTTTATAATAATAGTTTATTCGCTACCATTTTAAATATTAGAATATATAAAACAAGAGATAAAAATAAAAAAAATAATGTTCAAAAGAAAAAAATAACACTAAATATGGGAGACGAGTTAACAGGTGTTCTTTTAAAAAAATTTTTAAAATAAGTGTGAAAAATTTTTTTGAAACGATTTATAACGGGAAAAAGTATTTTTCGTGTTTCATAAAAAAAGTATTCAAGGAGTTTTAAAAAAATTTTTCCGTGGTGGTCTGGTTGGCCTAAATGGTAGTTTATACGATTTTTAACTGGTTTTTAAATTTAATTCTTGCCTCAATTATACTTTGGAACCTTAAATGAAGATATAGAATTTTTTCCTGGCGAAAAGTTGGTTCATAACGTTTTTTAATGGTTTCTCCTGCATAGAAAGGTTTTCTTTTATCGAATTTTACAAATAAATTTTCTATTTTAATTATTTCATTGGAAATTTAAGGTTGTTGATGATGAAGAAGAAGAAGAATACATGGAGGACGACGAGTACGACGTCCAGGAGCAATATGAAGAAGATTATGAGGTTTCAGAATCACGAATAAATTTCCTATAGTTGAAAATCGAATATATTGTTACTCAGAATATTATTTTAGACATTAAAAAAATTTTTTTATTTTTTTATAAAGTTTTTCATAGAAATTTTTCGGCCTTTTTGGTTTACATTCTTTTCCAGAAGCATTTTTCTCGAATTTGGGATATTTACCATTCTGTTTTGAAGTTGAGGCCCTGCAGAGTGGAAAAACATTTTTTTATGATTTTTTTAAATTTCGATTAAAAAATTTTTTTCATTTTTTTCGCGTTTAAAATTAGTTGTCTATAGCTGATCCACGGCTAGCTTGAGGCGCTAAGGGGCGTGTCCTGTCTCGCGCGTTTTTCGTGTCAGGACCCTTTTTTTCGATGGCTCAACCCATCCGTGAATCAGCTAGATTGTTTCATAAAATACTGTTTCCGAGATTTTTTTAATTAAAAAAACAATGTGATCTAAAAAAATAGCTTTTTTTCATTAGTTTGAACTAAATTTAAACTTATCCAGCGAACTTTTTACCGCCCGATTGAACTTTTTGCCTAAAATTTGCTGAAGTGTCATTTAGGACCCCCTGATTCCAGAACAGAAAGAATATTTCTCGCAATAGATCTTGTTTCCGAGTTATGGAGCTTCAAAGAGTGCAAAATACGCAAGGGGCTCCTAAAGTACACTTCAGCTGAGTTTCAGCAAAAATTCAACCGAGGGGTAAAAAACGTACCCTGGTCAGAGTATTATTATAATGACTTTTAAAAAATTAATTTTTTTTTTATTTTTTCAAAGTTTTTATAGGAATTTTCGGCCTTAGGCCTTTTGGTTTATAAATTTTCTTTTCCAGAAGCAATTTTTCCAAATTTCGGATATTTACCATTCTGTTTTGAAGTTGAAGCCGTGTAGAGTGAAAAAAACATTTTTTTAGAAATTTTTTTAAGTTTTTGATTGAAAAAAATTTTTTTCATTTCTTACGCTTAAAAAAATCTATTGTGTCTTGAAATATTATTTACAAGAAATTTCATTTTAGAGAAAAAAATAATGTGATCTAAAAAAAGTTTTTTTCATATGTTTTTATCTAAATTTGGACGAGGTAAAAAGTTGAGATTTTTTTCCCGTAAATGCGAAAAAAATTTGATTTTCAAAAAAAGAGCGAAGGATATTTTTTTCAAATTGAAGACAAAAGAAAAGAAAAAAACTATCAAAAAAATTAAATCAACTTGGATTTTATGAATTTAGTGAAAGCGTAAAGTTGAGAACAATGAAAAAAAGAAATCCATATTTATTTTTAGTTGCCTAATTGCTGTTTCTGGTTAGAAAAAAACTCAGTAAGGATAAATTATAAAAAAACCTAATTTTTTTCAGTTGGAAATTTAAGAACTTTTTTTGTAGTTATACTGTTTCTCAGGCATTATTTTTTTGAGCCGCCGAATTTTTTTCAACTTTTGTCTGTACTCTTTCTCTTGAATTTGGTATAATGAATAACTTACAATACTTTCCAGGACCAAATGGAAGAAGATGTAGAAGAAGAAGAAGACGAAGAAGTTGATCACCAACCGGAACGACGCGTTCAGATCGTTCAGAAGCGACCGCAAAGGACGATCGAGCAGCGCGTGACGCACGTCTCCGGCGGACGTCTTCAGCAAACGACGTCTTCTGGCCGCGCCGTCGTCATTTCTGAGGCGGCGCCCCAAGTCAGCGTCTTCAACCGGATCTCTCGGGTCACTTATCGATGAATTTTCCCATTTCAGAACATTTTTTGTGCTTTTCGAAGTTACTGTAAGGTTGTGCGCAGATAATTCATTTCGATACAGATACTGTATTTTCTTCATATCGTTACTGTTACTGTAACTTTTATATCGATCAACTTTTGTGCTTTTTTTTAATGATGTGAGGTACGCGTAGAAAGTATTTGATGCAGATACTGTAGTTTTTTCGATTTTGAGGAAGCTTTTTTTAATTTAGAAATTTATTGTGCTTTTTTTGAATATTGTAAGGTGGTACGTGTAGAATTGGTTTCGATACTGAGTCAGTACTTTTTTTTGACTAGGCTTTTTCGATTTCAAAACATTTTTCGGGAATTTGTCGAATAATTGAGTTTTCGCGTTCAACACTGAATAAGGCTTGAACTCGTATTTCGTCCTTATTTTCAAATTTCTCATCTGCAAATTTAAGAATTCGCCTAAACTGTAATGAACTTTCTTTTTTGAGCTTTTTTTGGTCATTTTTTTAAATATTACTATTTTTTTGGGTCATTTCTTTTGAGAAAAAAAGTTTAAAAGTTCCCTCGATCCTTTTTTCGAGAGTTTTGAACATATATTCATAGTTTTCAACTTTTCTAATCCAAGAAATTAATCCAAGTTGTGCTCAACTGCTTTAAAATTGAAGTTCATCGGCTGATTTTCGTAAAAACCTCAATTTTAGCATCTTTTTGAATACAAATAATTAACTGTTAGGCTCTATCGGAAAAAAACTGACTGTGGGAAACATTTTTTGTCACGCCAATATGACACCTGTCAATTTTGAAGGACAGGTGAGTTAGTGGGAACCTTTTGAAAGTGTGAATCTTCATTAGCTCCCGAAATGGTTTGAACCTGAGGCATGTGAATTCGCGCGGGAGGCCACGCCCACTAGATCACACCTCTCTTTTAGGCCTTTATTAAGACGTAATGCTCGTTTTTGGCCAACTCCTTCTTTTTTTTTTTGTAAAACGACATTATTTCGTACTTTTATTGGGTCTTCCAAGATCGTCTCTTCTGCGCCACCTGTTTTTATTTATGAGATGTTTCATTTTTTTCTTTGCCGTGTTATTTATTTTCTGTTCTTACATTTCGTTTCTATCTATTTTATCATCAAAAGTTGAATTTCTATTTTCCTTTTTTGTGAAATTTGTTGTCTTTCCTTTCGAATCGTTCAATAATAAAGTTTGAAAAAGGTCGGAATTTTCATCGCTTTTAAGGAAATTTGTCGAGTTCTTAATAAAGCTTATCTTGAAATGTGTAAGATTGAGACAAAAAAATTGATTTATTTGCAACAAAGGCTTTTAGGTAAATTTTTTTGAGGCGTTTTGAGATCAAACAATGTCCAAATATTCAACAAAAAAAGACTTTTTGAAAAAAAATAATTCAGATTTTATTAAGTCGATATTTTAATTAATTTTCACTTTATAAACAATAAGTCACAACGAAAGTCTTAAAAATATTACGAAAAAATCTTTAAAATATTAAAAAAAGATGCTCGTGAGGTTCGTCGTTTTGACCGTAACGCTCTTGGTGTATGCACTGAAAGCAATTTGAGCTACGCGCAAATATTTACGAAATAATAAAAAAAAGGCTAGTTTTCTGATTTTCGAAGTTTTTATTCGTACTCTTGCCTTTAAGTTTTTTAGCTCTTGTAGTAGGTTTATTGAATACTTTTCGTGATTTTTCTTGTACTTTGCGAAGGGTTCACCAGTTAAAATTTTTTTTTTCAGACTTTCTAAGAGCATCAAGATGGGAAGAAGGACATTGAATGAAGAATCACTGGAGGATAACCAAGGACAGAAGGTACAATTTTTCGGAGTTTGCGTCAAAAAGATTAAAACGATAATTTTCTGAAAGCTGTTTTAATACTGAGATTACTCTCTTGTGAACTTTTACTTGGTTGGATTTTTTATTCAACCGAATTTTAAAGGAATTGTTGATAAAACGGATGAATTTTCAGGCTGAACCTCAACCAATCCTGAGTGTTAAAGATATCTTCACGGAAGAGGAATGCTCGAAATTCTTCGAGAAAAATCAGCCGGTACCTATGAAAGTGCACTCGAACAATGTGAGTTTTGACTTTGAAATAAATCAGAAAAGTAAATTGATCTTTTATCAAGTTTAAGGAAATTTAAAAACCAAGAAATATATAATTTTCAGCGCTTCATAATGATGCAAAATGGACAAAACGAGACTGAAGTGAAATCCACCCGGAGCAGTCGTGAAGAAAGAGAGAAGCGACGGAAGTTTCACGAGCAAAAATATGCCAAGAAGCAGTTTGCGTAAGATTTTCATTTCTAAAAGATCCCAAGACTTAAATTTTTGCAGTTTGAAATGATTTTTTTCAGATTCGATCCAAGCCGATATGAGAATCACTTTCTTGCTCAGCAAAAAGAACAGCAAATGGTGCCGCAAAGTACGCAGTTTCCCCAGACTGGAATCATTGAACTTCCCGAGGATTTGGTTGGTTTTTCTTTTTATATATAAATATTAATTTTTCCAAAATAGATAAAGTTGAAAAAGAAAAAAATTCTAAATTTGATCACACTATATTAAATCAGTAATTCAATAAAAAGGTTGAAATTTATTTTTTTGTGACTTGACTTCTAAAGATTTTTTTACAATTTATAAGTTTTTTTACATCATGTGTTTGTAAGCCAAAAAAATCGTTGAATGAAAATTGGAAAAATTTTTAAAAAAATCATTGAAACAGTAAAGTTCCTCTCATTTTTTTCTTTTTAAATTTGATCCATGCAAACTAGCTATTTTTTTACTTTTTTTAAGGAACCTTGATTTTTTTAAAACCTCTTAAATCCCGTGAAATCTTCAGAGCTCTTTCATATAGCCCTCCAAAATAGGTTTTGAAAATTTCATAGAAAAAAATTACTTGGACAATTTTTTTGTCCAGGTATTTCTTGCAGAAGAAAAAAAATACTTTCCTTATTTTTTCTCGATTTTTTTACTTTCATTGTTTGTACGATTTACAACCAAACTTTAGAATTATTTTGGCATTATCAATAAAAATTTGGAAGTCGCGCGTAAAAGTTACTACATCGTTGTAGGGCATAATTTTTCTAGCGGCTTTCGAAATTCCAAGTCTTGCGTATTTCGCGAAATCTTTTCGAACGAAAGAAAATTTTTTTTCAAATTGCCGAAACAACAAAAAAAGCGAAATAATTGAATCAAAGTTTTATTTTTCTGTTATTACCTGAATTTCGAAACACACGTCATAGACGGAAAAAGAAAGCTAAGTTTTAGAGAGTCAGATAGTTTTGAAATTCGGTTAAATGACTTCAAACAAGACCAAAATCGGTTGCAGATGCCACAAATGGTCGGTACCACGACCTTCGAAGACATGATAATCCCGCACTTCGAAGCCCTCCAGCCGATTCCCTTCGACGAAAAAGACACGTTTCCCAGGACCTCACATCCAATCATTTCCTGTCCCTCGTCATCCAGGGCGGTCGAAGACGTCCAAGAGTTCTTCAACGATCAGACTACGGGCGTCCTTCATCCGATCTTCGGCGAGAAGGACGATCTGATCGTTTTCGATACCTCGAAGGTCGGCAAGTTCGAAGTGAAGCCCCGGGCCCTCACCTTGATCGAACTCCCCAACACGATCAATACAACTCCCCTTGATGATGTCAAAGATTTCTTCGTTCCCAAAGAAGTCAGCCCTTGTGTATCTCCTTCCATCGAAAACCAGGATCTCATTTGCTTCTAGTATTTCTTTTTTGATCTTCTGTTTAACAATTTCTTGCACCTTCGTTGTATTTATCACGGATAATTTCCATTTGGGCCATAATTGAATTTAAATTTGAAATAACGATCTGATTATCCATTGCGACTTCATCTCTTTCGATCTCAAATTTTCCATAATTTTTATAGAAGAACCCAAGTATTTGAATCTCATTATTGTTATTTTTCACGCTTTCTACATTCATTGTTACGTTCAAACTGCTTTAACTTGTAATTAGTTGTTGTTTTTTGCATTCATAATAAATAGAAAATTTTTTCCAGTGTAGAAAGTTAACGAAAGAAAAAAAGGATGAAATATCGAAGCGAAACTAAATGAAAAAAAGTTTCCAAATTCGAAACAAAAAAATTCGAGTTTGTCGAACACTTGCGCTCCATAGACAAGTTTGCGAATTTTTTTTTTGAAATAAAAATTTATTTTCCATTTCGAATTCCGAATATTAATTTGCTTATCATGCCGTGTTCAAAGTGATTAGCGAATTTCAAGACAGTTGTCAAAAAGGGAAAAGAAATAACTAAATTTTGGAGAGTCAGGGATAATTTTGAATTTTTCATTTCCACCAATTCCTTCCCATTTTACTTTATCTGATTGTTTTGCTCGTTTCTTATACGGCAAAGTTATTTTTCTAATTATCTTTATCTTGTGAATCGTTCAAAAACTTGAAAATAAGATCATAGAAAGGCGTATTTTTACATTTCCTCGTCTAAAATTAGTATTTCCTTGAGGCGTTTTGATATTTGCTCCATTGTCTTTCCTTTTTTGGGCATCGTCCGTCTGTTATTCCACGTTGGTTTACTCAGTAATTATGGGAGAATGGAGCGGAGAATAATAGTGTAAGTGTCTGTGTGTCGTTTTTTTCAACGTTCTGTTGTTTTCTCTCCCCCTCGAAGGAAAAAATGTTTTTTCTCGGCGTCAAATGTCAAGAAAAAAACGTAATAATTTTTTTTTATCGCTTCCAATTCGCGGATTTGTGTGTATAGTTTTTCTTGGGAAGGCTTTTTCAGCATGAAAAAAACAGGGGATTTGTGGGGGAGTGTTCCGTTTTGTTTTTGAATTTTTAAAAAGATAACCGATTTTTTTGGAATATTTTAATATGTTATAAAATTATTTATAATTTAGAGTTTTTTTATTTAAGAAAATAAGGAAGAACAGATAAATATGTATTTGAAGTTTTAACGAAAGTAAAAAAATTTGCAGATTTGTACAGATTTCGTTTATAATCCTTTTTTTACAGTGTAAATACAATAATTTCAGCGGACTCCTGTGATTTTTTAAGTTTCTAATAAGGTTTTTTGAATCATCCTGAGAGCTCATTTTTCAAAGAATGAAAAACCGTTTTTTTATTATTTTTTTCTCGTGTGTCTCAGAACTAGGGCGATGTGAACAATGGTCCAGAAGAAGTTTCCAAAAAACAGATTTGAGTCGAAAATTCCAGTTTTTTCACATTCATAAAGCTGATTTTTTCAAAAAAAATCAATAGCTCGTTTCAAAAATCCAATTATTTGTAGAATTCTCACCGCTCTCCGAAAGCCCAAACTCAAGAAAAAAAATAATAAAAACTCAAATTTTCTCAGATCCTCAAAAAGGCAATAGAATCCCCCCTGAAACATAATACATAATCGGGCCGAAGCTTCTTCTGACCAAGGTAGCCCCGCCTCCTTTTTCAGACGGCCACGCCCACTTCTCGAGCTCTTTCCACGGGCTCCGCCGTGCTCGCCGAGGCCGCCTCTTCTCGTACCGGAAGTCGCCTAAGTGGATTAGCGACAGCTATCCTCACTTCTCGAGTCCCGAGCTCCGGAGAGCCCATGAGCAGCTGAGCGACAAGTCCCAAGCAGTCATGCGCGAATGAGCCCGAGCAAGGGCGGTTCCTCGCTGTCAGCCGGTGACGTCATCCGCCGTCGCATCGCCCGGGGCCATTTCCGACTTCTGATATGTCTCCTTGTCCTTTTCATGACGCCCGGGACTTCAGGTACGATTTTCGATTGGTCATTGGAAAATCGAGATTTTTTGAAATTCGTCCCAGCCGCTTGGAAGGAAATATATATATCCGTAAGCTTGAAAGAATTTATTTCGGAAAAGTTGGATTCTTACGACTTTTTCGTTGTATTTTTTGTATTTTGAGTTTTAATGGAGCACCGGAAGTTTCCAGAAAAATGAGAAAAAGGAATTTTTCGAATTTTCTTTTTTCCTACAGCTATCTTGACCTCAAAAGAAATAGGACTTTATAATCTCTAATTTTTAACGGTTTTTACTGTTTCAAACTGAAAATGAATATCATTCTAATTTCAGCTTTTCGATAAAACTTTTCATTTCATTTCACTCACTCCCTAGAGTTTTTTTATTATTCTTGTTTTTTTAACGTTTTTTTCAAAGGTTTCAATTTTTTTCTCAAAATTTATTGATTATACATTTTCGTATAATGAGACCATTTCTTTCCGAAGTCGATTTTTTTCAGCAATCTGTTCATTAAATCCTTAAACTGTTTTTTTTTCTAGAATTTTAAAATCTTTAGAAAATGCGCTCGAATTATGTCTTTTTCATATCTAATAAAATTTTTTTAGCCTACAACTTCCTAAAAAAAAATCAAAATATTCTTTTTTGAGTCGGCATTAATTTTTTTAACTTCCCCGTTTCGAAAAAAATATTATTTCTTAAAACTTGGAAGTCTTTCAAAAGTTATTGCTTGCATAATGGGGTCACGTTTCTCTACGTCATGTTATAATTTGTTCGATGAGTTTACCGATTCAAGCGGTTTATAGAAGTTTATTTCATATTTTCCTATGTTCAAATTATCTCTGTGGTTAAAAAAAAAAACAAAAATTGCATAGAAAAATGGCGGAAATCGAAATAATTTTCGGGGAAGTCTTATTCAATTCGATTCATTAGTGAAAATGTTCTTTACAAGTCGTTTTTTTTTCGCGAAATTTTGTCAAATTTTGGTCGCATGTGAAATGGATCAAGGCGTAGCGGTCAAAATTGGCTTAGCTAACCAAGATTTCCATTTAAAGTTTCCCTAATTCAAAAATTTCCATCGTTAACCGAAAGTCTGTTTGCGGTCGGGCATCTTGACCGTCACGAAGCCGCTACGCAGCGATCCATTCCCAATGCGGCACGAATAGTTTTTTTTTAATGGAAGTATATTCAACAGTTTTCCTTTGAGGCTTGTTTTTTTCAATTTTCACTTGAGCCAATCGTCTTCTTTGTTTCTTTAAACCAAGTTTCTTCTCTTTTTTTCATATCTTATTCTTCATCTTTATTTGGGTGCTCTCATGTCGGTTCCAATTTTTTTTCAACGTTTTTATCGGAAATTGCGAGGTCAGTTTTTTAGAATATATCCAAGATCCAGTTCTTTCTTCCACTGAAGTTTTGCGAAAGCCCTCAAATTAAAAACCTTATAAAATTACATTTAAAGCCGCTGTCCATTTCTTTTTTTTCTGTCTAGTTCTGATTTTTCCTGAAAGTGCATTTTCGAAAACTTTCAAAGTGCAACTTTTCAGTTTCATATTCAAAAAAATCCCACATTTTGCCTGGAAATTGCCACTTTCAGCTGTCCAAGACATCATCTTTTTTTTTGTGTAGCAAATTTGCGCCAACGATGTGTGGAGAAATTCGATTAGCGCACGTAAATCCGTGCTTCCTTCGCCGTCGCAATTTGTTGCCTTTGTCATTTTCATTTTCTGAAATCGTGAGAAAAGCCATCCGTTCTTCCAGTAATTGGAGGATTTTTATTCGAGCAACAAATTCGAACGCAAAATGCTCTGGAAAAAAAGGCTGTGGCTGTGGAATTGTACAAGTGCGCTCTAGTGAAATAATTCTTTGATTGGCTTGATCGTCTTTAGAAAATCAATAAGCGAATTTGAGTTGCTAGAGTGTAATAAGTAAAGCTTGAAAAGATTAGAAAGGAGTGGTTAACTGTTCGATTTGAACTGGAGGCTGTCTGATCTATCTGCGCTCTCTTTTACTTTATCAGATCAGAATGGAGTTTGATTGGTTATCTAAACCTCAAAGTTTAAAAAACAGCAAAAAGAAAGCTTACGGCAAGCCGAATTCCCAAGCCGTCTCCGATCCAAGTACTACCGGCTCTCAACGTTGCTTAACTTGCCAGATCGGACGGGATGGCGTGTTTTCAACGTGATATGGTAGTAAGCAAAGGTCGGAGGGTGCAGAAGAGATATCACGGCGCTGATAAGGGGATTCAGTGCAAACTTTTGTGATCTTTCAGAGAAAAATAAGTCCTGAAAAATTGAAGTTGTCTTGCTTACAGTAGACAGCCTTTTCAACCATACTGTCGAACTCCTATAATTTATAAAAAAATATTCCCTATTAAGGGAATTTTTCGGCAAAAAATCCGGGGAAAAGGTCTCCAAGGAGAGCTTAAATGAGCTGAAAACGAAAAGTGCACGTGACAGCTGGACAAAAAAATCCTTTGAATGTTAAATTATCCATGCCTTTTTTCGGGATTTTGACTTCTTTTTTTGATTTGGGGTGGCCTTGGGAAGGTATAATATTTTGAAGATCTCATGGGATAAATGCGGGTTTTGTAAGTAAAAAAAAATCAGAATAAAGAATGAAAGTTTCATTTTCATTAGAAAAGCAAGGCTAATCTCACTTTTTTGTTTAAAAAAAGTTTTCACGATTTTCAGGGTTATAAATGAAATAGTTTTTTTCAAACTTTCCGGGTTTTTAAAAAAATATCCTTGTCATTTTTTTCGTTATTTTTTTCCCTTTGTACTCGAAGCTTCCAAGGTCTCCTATTTCAAATCTCAGACTGAAAAAAATTTTTGGTTCATGAAATTTACTATGGAAATCCTCAATATATCAAAGTACATTGATGAGGTCTTTTTAAATTCTAAGCTCCTTTTTGATGTTACTGTTTCTGATAGTCTTTTTGAATTTTTGAAAAGATCTCACAGATTATAGCTGACGAAACTTTAAGTCACCCTAGTATCGATGAAAACTTTCGAAAATTCTGAATATTAAAAAAAATCAATATTTTTTGTATGTCCCATTTTTCCCGCACAACCTATATTTAACTTGATGTGCTCAAAAAAATTATTTTTTCTGCTCTCAATTTTATTTGGATTTCGGGGTTAAATTTTGATATTTAAGTATTATATATTCTGATCCTTATCTTGAACACTTTCTAAAAATTCAATGATTCCCATTGATCCATTTATTTTTTGGCTTTTTATCAATTTACTGTTTCTGATAACTTTCACAAATTTTTGATTAGCTGTTACACAGATTATCCTCCCATCATCCAAGTTAAAATATTGAATAAATAAAATCAGCCGCCTTAAAGTGGATCAACGCGTAACGGCTGCGGTTACTTCAAAATGCGGCCGACTTGAACCGACTTGCGCTCGAGCCGATAGGAAGTTATAACAGAAAAGTCCGCTAGTTGACCTTTCGAACCGCAGCGCGACCGCGACGCTTTGAGCCATTCTTCGTGCGACCACAATGTGGTTTTAATAAATGATGCAATTATTTCCATATTCTTTTTACTTGAAATTTATCGCTTACGCTAGAAAAGCGTTGACGAATTCTTTGTATTCTCGAAAAAGTGCGACACAACAAACTCCGCACTTTTGAGCTTCTGACGATTCAGTCGGTTTGTCATGGCGCAAGAATAATCGAAAAAGTAGAGGACAAGAAAGTGAACGAGTTAATTAAGCGGGGGGCCTCTCCTGGCCGCAGGACAACTCATCAAATTTCCAAGGACGAAGCCGGACAAACTTTCTTTTCTTACTTTCTTACGCTTTTGCGACTTCTCGCGTGTTTCTCCGCGAGACGTCAATTGAGAAGGATAGTCATAAAAAGAAGGGAAAAAATTAGAGGGAAGCGCAAGGTTTCTTCGACCCAAAGAAGGAGAGTGAACAGAAATTTTCAGCAATTTTCAATTGCCTGTTTGAGAAAGAATATTTATAAAAGTAAAAAATTTGGTATTCTTTTTTTTTCTCATATTTTCTTTGAGTAAATGAAAGCTAAAGTTCAATAAAAAAATTTACGAAATTTTTTTCTATAAATCGAGATTGAAAAATTTTAACAAGTTTCATCACTTTTTTTGATTTCAGTGAGGAAATTAAGACTCCTGGACTCTATGGTATTTTTTTTTCGTTAAAAAATCGCTTTTCAAAAAATTTTGCTCTGGATTCTCTTATCGTTCAAATTATCAGCGCCATGATATCTGTTCTGCGCCCTCACACAGTCGCTTACGACCACATCACGTTGAAAACACGCCATCCCGTCCGATCTGGCAAGTTAAGCAACGTTGAGAGCCGGTAGTACTTGGATCGGAGACGGCTTGGGAATTCGGCTTGCCGTAAGCTTTTTTGCTATTTTTAATTGATACAATTTTTAAATACTCGTCATTCCAATCCCAGAAGACGGTCGTTGGTTAGGACCTGAATTTCTCATTTTGTAAATACAAAAGAAGCCTTTATTCTAGCTCATAGAAATTCAGGACTGAAATTTCACTCTCAAGAAAAACTCTAAAGTGCTCACTTGAGATCAACGTCACCCACAACAACCACCTGAACTTTTTGCTTTGTTTCTATTGCAGCATAACGACTATAAAAGAGGGCAAAAAGTCCGAAGACTCGTTAACTATGCGCATAGCTAAGGCGTGCAGGTTACCGCTTCTCAGACTACTTTTATAGTCGGTTAGGGTATTCATTTGAGGGGCAGGCTAATCTCAAGGTTAATTATTCATCCGAAAGGAGGAGACAAACCGACTTTTCTTTTCTTCTCTACTTCTTTTTGCTTGATGGATGAGACTTGGAGCGGTTTTGAAGTTTTGGGAACAACAAAGTAATAATCAAGATATACGGCTTTTGGCTCGGAGGAGCTAAATTACCCTAAATGGAACTTTCTCGCTAAGATCTTCAAGATAAATTCATTCAAGACTATTACTTAGGCTCGTTCAATTTTTTTCTCTTTAGTTCAAATTTCTGAAGGTAGCTTCTAAACTAATGCAGAAAATCCGAAAATTAATTTTTTATTATTAGAGAACATTTTATAGTCTTCTGAAAAAATTTTCCATTCACTTTTTATAAAATTTTTCCGGCTTCAAAAAATAATCGTAAAAAGTGATTCCAACCTGAAACCACCTTTTTTATTCCACAATTCTTCCTTCAGACGGCAATTAGCGATTTGCGTGGTTGAGGAGAGGCCTGAAATCGAGTTTCCGACTATGTGCAAGAAAAAAAATATGAACGCAAGGGAATAATCGGATTTGAGCTTTCTTCGTGTGTTGTTTTTGATATTTGCTAGAAAATTCGCGAGTTGGTATCGTAAAAAATGAAAAAAATTGAGGAACTGGAAGAAAAGCGCCGGTAATTACTCTAACAAAAGTTGCGGTGCACCCCGCGTTGAACTCTCCTGTACACCCCGCAGTGTAACCAGGGGTGCACCGAAAAGTCCAACGCGGGGTGCACCGAATCCTCATTTTTCAATTTTTGCTTCTTGCACTTTTAAAATACCTTTATACTTCTATATCCCATATATATCATCAATTGAGACCACGTTTCAAGTTATATGATTTATTAAATGATATATCACATGATAAGACAATGAAACAAAAAAAAACAAAAAAATTACAGCGAATAAATAGGGAATTTGAAAAATATTCGAAGATAGACAATTTCATTTACAAGATTTATGATAACAACCTTTACAAAAATGTGAGAAAGAAAAAAAGGTCTCTAGAGCTGTTTTCTGCGCCTTCTCCCCTTTTTCTAACCAGGGAACGTTTTTTACCCCCCGGTTGAACTTTCGCTGAAACTTTGCTTAAGTGTACTTTAGAACCTCCTGATTCCAGAACAAGAAAAAAATTTCTCGCAATAGATCTTGTTTCTGAGTTTTGGAGCTTCAAAGTGTGCAAAATACGCAAATTAGGCCAAAAAAGCGCTATTTCGGGCTTTTGAAGTGTCCTTACCCGAAAACGAGATCTATTGCGAGAAATTTTTTTCTTGTTCTGGAATCAGGAGGTTCTAAAGTACACTTCAGCAAAGTTTCAGCAAAAGTTCAACCGGGGGGTAAAAAACGTTCCCTAGTAAGCATCTAGCCAACTTTAGACCAAAATCGTGAGAGCATGTTAAAAAAGTAGACATAAATCGAAAAAATTGATAGAAACTGAAAATTAAATCAGGAGAAAGAAATTGAATCAGAGTTAAGTGTCAAACAAAGGCTCAAAGTCGAAATATTTCAGTCTTGAACCCTCGGATATCAACATTTGCTATGAAAGATGGATTAAGTTGCAACCAAACTTTTTTCGTTGCGAAAAAAGTCTCTCGAGAAAACTTAATAAAACAATTTCCCCTTAAAATTTATGAATTTACGAGAAAATTTTTCATCTATAGATTTTTGGGTAAACTTTTTTAAAATTTTTTGGATAAGGGTTTTTTTAATTTGAAAGTTTTTTGGTCATGTGAAATGTCACCAGAACAATTTTTGATATTTACGGTGACTATCCTGAGAGACTCAACATAAGAATATAGTTTTCGAGAAATGGTCATGGTTCCGGGAGATAAAATATTACAGACTTTTTAGATTTTTTCCATAAGGATATTGAGGATTCTCTTTTCGAAACTAGATAGGTGCGAATGTGAAACTTCCTAAAATTTGCATCTGAACTTTCAAAAACTTTAAGAGCTTATCTGAATCTTTTTCAGAAAGTTCTGCAAAGCAGAAACTATTATTCATCCCTGTCAGCAAAATAAAAAAATTATTTGGACAGTATTTTTTTAGTTTCGAAGTTAACAAGTTTTCAAGACTGAAAAAATTTCAAATAGAGATCTACTGGTAGCTACAAAATTCTTTTCATAGGATATATCCATGGAAACGTGAATACATTTAAAGATAGATGGTAATAATAAGAGAATACAACAGAAAGAGTGGATAGTACTGAAGAAAACTAGGCAGAAAACAGAACAGGCTTCATAACACTTACAAAGTTGACTGGTAATATTTAACACATGATTTCCGAGAAATTTTATGAACTGGGAAATCAATTGGTACAATAATTTTGAAAATTATGTTTTTTTGAGCATAAATTCATATCACAGATACTATTAAACCTTTTTTATTTCAGGCACCGAAACGCTCCGCACACTTTTAGAGCTACTAAGACAAAATTACTGTAAGAAGCTAACTTTTTCCCTCGTAAAGCGTTTCGCTTCTAAAATGTCCTTTGGAAACATCAATTGTGTTGGCAAAATGACGACTTCCGCAGTTGTTATAGCTCTATAAAAACCGGGACCTCAGATGGCCTTGATTTTTATACACTAAATTTTTATACGGAGCTTTTCGGTACTTGTTTACATGAGTTTAATAATTTGCATAGTATCTTTGATATGAACTTCAGCTAAAAATAATCTTTAAAATTATTCATCAAAATTATCACCAACGTATATTCGAAAATTTCGGAGAACGTGTGTTCAAATTTTTAAAACATTGTCAGTATGTTTTCTCTTTTTTTCGAACGATACTTAAAGATGAAAATTATTTTCATAGCGAGCTAGATGTGAATAAAAACGTTGGAAAAAGCTGAAAGCTTTTCCAGTATCAACTATTCAAACTTTTCATCAGCTATTAAAGAACAAAAAAAGAAGAAAAAAAGTAACGGCTAAGTTACTCTGCTCCCCTTATTCGACTGCAGTCCTTCTGTTTGTTATGAATCAGGATCAAGTCGTACGGCTATCTGAAATTAATACAAAACTAAAATGCAAAGCTTTAAAAAAATTACCTTCATATTATATGCGTTTTTCTCTCTCTTTCTTGATGGTCATAAATTTATTCTCTTCAAATGAACCTGAAACGCATCACAAATAATCGCGAAAAAGTTAGCGAAACAAATAAAGTTTAAAAAAATATTTACTTTTAAGAACAAATCGTTTTTAAACTAAAATCTACAATAGTTTTTTTAATTTTTGATAGTTTTTTTCAAAAATTGCTTGCTAGACTCGAAAAAAATTGAAAAAAATATGTCGAGGCAAAAAAATAATTTTGGCTTTGCAAGATTTCTGCACATTTGAAAGACTCAAAAAGCATTTTTCCAGCGAACTTTTTTGCAAAAATCAATGCGCAAGCCTTGATTACCTGACAACTTAAAAAAATTAAATGTTCAATACAGCTTTTTTTAGACTAAATTGAACAAAAACCTTCAAAAAGGTTGGAATAAAAACCGATTCGAAATGTTCAATTTAAAAAGTTACATGAGCTTTTGGAAGCAAGATTACTTTTTATCCATCATTTCCAGAAGTTTGCGATCGAAAAATATAATTTAACAACGAATTTTGTATTTCAAAAAATGTCTCAAAAAATTTGCCAATAAGAATAATAAGAAGAAGAAATTCATATGAAACTACTTCCATAAACTCACTAGTAATGTTAAAACATCGAATAATAGAAAAAAACACGAAAAAGCGAGTGATAATAAATTAAAACAAATAAAAAAACAAATGAAAACTTCAAATTTCGTAACTTGAAGTTTGAAAAACGCGTTGTTCGGAACATCGTTCCAGATGACCGAGGGGTGCACCGAGTTTTCAAATTTTCGGTGCACCGAAAACATCAACGCGGGGTGCACCCAATCGCGCTGAGTTCAACGAGGGGTGCGCCCCGATGGCCGGTTCGACGCGGGGTGCACCGCAACTTTTGTTAGAGTATCACCCATTATATGTGAACACTTCGCAATAGGGCGCACTTGATTTTGCGCCTATTTCGTGGAAATCCGAAGTATTTCTATCTCACCTCGCTTTTTCTGAGTTTTTCATTTGTTTTTATGATTTATAAATAAATTACAGGGTGCGGAATCCACTTCATGATTATTAAAATAAAAAATCTTATGTGGCACGTGCTTCAGATAGAAGATGTCGTAGCAAACGAATTTCTGCGGCACGTAGATAAACGAGATCAATTTTGCTACAAGTTTTGAGCAGGGAGTCTCAAAATGGCTCGGAAACCATTACACTGAATTTTCACACAAAATTTGGAGTAAATTTGATAACAGTCAAAAAAGCGAGACCCCGTTTTATGTGCTTGAAACTAGGTAAACTGTTGAAAAATCTCTGTAGCATAAGCTACAAAGATTTTTGGAAATTTTTTCTAGTATTTTGTGCCACTAAAGATAACTGCCGAGTCTGGCGCGAAAGAAATTCGCTCTGACTGTACATTTGACGAACTCGCAATGTGCTCAGCCGTCCTGGTCGAAATTAGATGATCGCGGCAAGAAACAGAAACATATTGAGGAAGTATGGTCAGCACTGAGCACATCAGCGAAGGTCCATCAAATTATCAAAGTAAAAACGATGTCCTCGAGCGGGTCTCGCGTTTTCTCACGTACTGAAAACTTCCAAAGTCCGAGACTCGCGCGATGACAGAGCGATTTTTGCGTTTTAGTCAATATACCGCCAGCAATATTGTCTTCATTTCGGCGGTTATTATTAACGATGAACAGGCTTGTGGGTCAGGACGTGCGCCCGAACTTAGGGCTTCATTTTTGAGAAAAGGTTTGCGCAGGCTTGGGCCAGGCTTCGAAAATTTTTCTAAACTGCACTATTAAATGTTGTTAAATCATAGTTTATGTTGGCCTGTGAGTGAATTAACCAGCAAAAATTTGACTTCTGTTGTAAAAAAAAAGCTTGATATTCCACTTGAACAAAATTTGAGCCCGTTCTTCTTTACTTTATGCCTCCTAAGGCGAAACCGTGCTTAGAAAATGGCCGGGGGCCAATAGACTGACGGGCCGGTTCCTGTACAATTCTGATGATGACTACACAGTCTCATTGACAAATTTATCGATATTGGGAATCTTTTACGCAAACGGTAGCCCCTTTCCTTTCGTCCCAGTAAGTATTCCCCACCCTGTAATTCATTTATAAATCATAAAAACAAATGAAAAACTCGGAAAAAACGAGGTGAGATAGAAAGGATTCGGATTTCCGCGAAATATGCGTAAAGCCAAGTGCGCCCTATTGCGAAGTGTTCACAAATAATGGGTGATAATTACCGGCGCTTCTGGAAGAAGAAATTAACGACAGAGTGCTTACGATTTTCAGGAAATAAAATCGAAATTATGTAATTTAGAGAGTGAATTGGTAACTCTGATTCAATAAGACTAAAAAAAATTGGAATTGAAATTCTTTATTTAATTTTTATAGAAGTTTTCTAAATTATCTTCTTTTTATTTTTCTATCAGCGAAATTATCAGCGCTATAGTATCTGTTATGCGCCATATCACTTTCGCTTACGACCACATCACGTTGAAAACACGCCATCCCGTCCGATCTGGCAAGTTAAGCAACGTTGAGAGCCGGTAGTACTTGGATCGGAGACGGCTTGGGAATTCGGCTTGCCGTAAGCTTTTTTGCTAAGTTTTCTGTGTCTTCCTAGTAAAATTTTGCTTCATTTTTGCAAATTTCGCTTCATTTTTGTAAAATTTTGCTTCAGCCCTCTATTTTTAAATGAGTGATTTTTTTTTCATTCGAATTTTTCCGTTCGCCTTTGAAAGCCCTATTCGGAGACAAGAATCTCACTGGGAAGGAACAAGTTCGTCGTGAGCAAAAGACAAATAGTAGTCGCCGTAAGCGCAATTAAGTAATCACTTCGGCGCTCAGCCCACCAATTACCTCTCTGTCGTGGTTCCGTGGCCCACCGACTGACGTTTGTCGCTTTTTTCGTAGTGGGAACAAAGATCTTCAGAAAAAAAAATAGAAAATATTCATTTATAGTTTTCCTACGAGAAAAAGGAAAAAAAAGCTTACGGCAAGCCGAATTCCCAAGCCGTCTCCGATCCAAGTACTACCGGCTCTCAACGTTGCTTAACTTGCCAGATCGGACGGGATGGCGTGTTTTCAACGTGATATGGTCGTAAGCGAGGATGTGGGGGTGAAGAACTCATATTATAGCGCTGATCATTTGAACAATGAGAGATAGGGCTAACTCGAAATTGAAACTTTTCTTTTGGCGTAAACGGTTACCTGGGCAGCCCGAAGGACTTTATTCAAAAATCCTTTTCCAATAGTTTACCTTTTTTTGAATAAAACTAGGAAAATGCTTCACAAGCCGCCTTTTTCTCGAAGCTGATATAATTTATTATCGTTTTTTTCAAAAGATCAGACGCTTAAAATTCGGAAATAACATTGTTGACATGTATTCTGGAGATTCTGTGGGCTGGAGTCGCATTTCTCTGCCCGTTGCGCCTTTAATCATCATCTCTGTCTTTCTTTTTTCTTGCATATTTCTCGAGATATCATATTCTTCGTATATTTATATAAAGCAGTGTAATTCTGACACCCATCTCCTTTAATACCATGGATATCAAAGCTCTCTTTGGCAAAAAGTGTTCCAAAGCCGAAAATAATATTCCAAAACCCGACGTCTCAGAAATCCAAGACGAGGTTTCCGGTTTGAAAGCCGAGCGGGTTTTGCCATGGTAGTCAGGAATAATGGAACGTTTTTTTGGAAAGGTGGAAATTTACCTGGAGAGGAAGGAAAAATATACGATTTCGAAGTAGACACTAGCCAAAAATTAACAAGGTTTTTTTTTTCAGAAGCACTACAGTGTCTCGAAGGCTCCGACTGCGAACTAGATGCCTCCTGCACAGAATGTTCAGGTTTGAACTTAAAAAATGACTCATTTAGACCATGTAAGACCTTTTCACTAGTGGATACTTTTTGAGTAATCGTTATTTCCCATTTTGGCCTATGAAACACAAACTTTTTTACTTTTAGAAAAATGATTTTTTTTTTTTCATTTTTTTGAAAGTTCAAATCGGAATTTACAGGCGTGGCGTGCACGAGAGTGACGTCATCTAACCTGGACGACAACAAAGAAATCGCCCTTACGTGTGTTCCTTACGATACGCGGTTGGTTTTCTTAGTGAATTGGAAAAAAAAATTCGAATTTTATTTTGAGGTGCTCGAAAGCGAAGCCTTCTTTATTAGCATTTTTTTTTATGATGTTTCGTATATTTTTTTAAATTTTCGATATAAATTTTCGAGCTTTTTGCAGTTTTATGCTTCTTTTTCAGTCATAGATGTAATCATCAAGACGGCGAACAAAAATTACTAATACTTTAGCGAACAGCCGTCTTTTAAGACCTAGGAGCCCGAAAATGTAGTTGATCAAGTTGGAACCATGGTCTTACGGTCCTTAACTTAGTTCTTCTGCGCTTAGTTCCTTCAGATGCGCCTTGACGAGCTCAGAATGTGGCTGTTCTTTTTCTGGAATCTGGAAACCGGGTTCTAGGTGGAGGCCTTGAAATGAGAGCAACCACTTCGAGTGAAGATTTTACACATAACCTGAAAAGGTGCCCCTTTTAGAAAGGGTCACTTTTTGTAGCAGTTGTTTCAAATTTCATATAAAAAAGTTTATTTAAACCTTTCTTCTCAAATTATTGGTATAAGACAAAAATCCTCAATCTGAAACCCTCTTTCAGGTCGTTTCCCCCGCAGACGTTGATCGAGCAGGGGTGCACGAAAGTCGGCGAGCGGCAGGTCTGCGTCTGCTACCAGGACTACTGCAACTCGTCCTCACAGACCTCAGTCATCTCCTTCCTGCTCCTCGTCGCTTTCTTCTTTCATATCCGTCATATTCTGTGACCTTTTCGCTTATCATATTTTTTATTTCAAATTCTATGAATGAATGAATATTTATTGATTTTTTTAAACGATATCTGAATATAAGTCTTTGGGTTGAGGAGCCAGTTTGATACAGATAGGGATTAAAAATCGGAATCGGCGGTTGTTCGAATAGAAATACCATTGGAGGGCTCTGGGCGGCTGGAGATGTACGCGTTGCCGTTGATGATGGGCACCATGTTGGTGGGGGCGACGCCGGTCATCCCTTTGAAACAGTGAAATCGACGGAAAATCCGATTCAGAAGCATTTTCCGTTTCTGCTTGTTGCCGAGCATGATGGATATTGGCAGGCCTAGCGCTGTAATATGTATAATTATTGTTGTAGGTCAAATGCAGTTTGAAGCTCTGAAAACCACTAACATAAAAAAAAACTCACAAATATAATCGAGTTTGCTGTTCGTGACCAGTATCAAAGAATCGAGTGAATTATCGACCAAAAGGAGGAAAAATTTCCACTCGTTGCTCTGAAACATATGTACGTAAGAGTCTTACGGTAAGACGGCCTGGAAAAGTCGGTCGCTTTTTTTTTTTCAGTGGCCATTTTTGGAAAGTTTTGACGTTTATTTTAGTTCAAAATTGTTGAACACCTCAAAATGTGATGCTTTCTATATTTCGGTTAGTTTTTGTTAGTTTCAAAAATCAAATATTGGCTGCCCTAAATAGAAGATATCAACTGGAACTTTTTTTAACATCCTAAAAGATTTTTTCGATGCAAATTCTGAGGTAAGATGAAAAATTTGAAAACACTGTTTGAAGCCTGGACCGGCCTGAGCTCGTGCACGCTTTTTTCAAAGAAACGAAGCTCGGCCCAGCCTGATGCACAAGCCTGATTTCCACCACCATTGTTTACCCTTGTGCCTCCCGCCAAAAAGCCGCGTCGCACACGCAACGCGTATTCCTTGTCAACCCGTGTTTCAAATCAATAAAACTGGAATGTACAAGTATCCTCACCATTGAATAAATAGCTAGAGGAAGGGCTTGATAGATCACGTGCAGATGATTCGTCTGAACACTTTCAAACTGTTTTCTTATCTTTTTAACGATAACAATCATCAGATATCCAACGATAGTCAACAAGCTTATGATGATACGAGCCGCAGAATTTATCTGTATAGATATTATTTTCGCTAACTCAAACATTCCAATTCAACCATCGCCGCAACGTCTGACTCGATATCCGGTTTTTCTGCTTTTGACCTGCTAGAAGTTACAAAAGTTGTCAAGACTGCGAAGAAAATCATTGATATCAGAGTTATAATCGGGCAAATCCTGAACCAACTTCCATTTCACTATTTGCAGGACTTCCAAACGTTCTAAATTTTCCCACGTAGGTGTGAAAAATATCGTAGAAGACCGCAACGCGTTGAACGCACAGGAAACCTTCGACTACCGTAATCATCGTGGGTACAACTCGATAGACAGAAGCCAGGGCAGGGTACTGTTCCAAGAACTTTATTGATTGGGCCGGGATGAGTAGGAAGTAAAAGAATAAACTCATCAACGAGAACATTTCCAGGATGAGGAAGCCGATGAAGTAGGAGTTCTGAATAAGTGTCAATCTGGAATGAATAAAAAAGGCTTACTTTTTTATCCTCGGCATAGGTCGCCATGAAAACCCTGATAAGGTGATAGTGGATAAAGACTGAGACCCAGGCGACCCAAGAGCAAACGATAGAGAAAATAATGTAGAAAAGCTGCATTTTGTAGAAAAATTCGCGTTCTGATTCGTCCAAGTCGTCGATTGAAGTTATATTTCTACGAGCCGTCATTTGAAAAGCGAGAAAATAAGTTTGGAAAGTTTTGAAGGCAAACTTGAAAGTTGTCAGGTTCTGAATAAATCACCTGTCTCTCAATGTTTATTATTATAAACTTGGTTTTTGAATATCACTTTCACATTCTCTTGAATCTTATTTAACTTATTCTGAGAAAGGGGTGGGGTTTTTATTGAATTTATCAATAATTTAAAAAAAGGATTAAAAAAATTACCAATGATCCTCGCTATTGTATATTAAAAATGCGAGAGCAAGGCTGAGAGAAGAGAGAGCGCAGACTGCCGAGACGAAAAGAATGACACAGTTGATACTTTTCAAATTCGCACTCTCTCCTTCAGAAATGGGAACTCTAATTTACGCGTTAGTGAAATATCATCAAAACAGTCAAGATAAATTTTTAAATCTCTTCGCTCAAATGTCAGAAAAAGACAAGTAAATCATCATTGAGCCCAAAAGTTTTTTAGGAACAGCTCAGGGGTCACTAAAATGATGAACGTAGGGGCTTTTTGTGAGGCACCCTTAAGTGATCACTTTACTTAATCTTATATAGGGGACTAAAACTTGCATAAATGGCCAATTAAGTAGTTCTGGTTAGTGGCCGCTCTAGGGTAGTATGTTAGTGGTCCCTAGAAACACAAAAAAAAATAGAAGCAAATTTTAGCCCCTTGTAGAGATCACTTGAGCTTTAGGGTCAGACTCTAAACTCCTACCTAAACTGCATATCCACAATGGGGGCTTTTTTTTCTCGAACCCCTTTAGTGACCACTCGGCTCTTTCAAAGCTGTTGTTTGATTTTCAGAAGCTCAATGAGCTCATTTCCAAACTGTTTTCGCTAAAGTGTAAACTTTCCCAGTGGCCATTGGGCGAGGCCTCTCCGAACAACTGTTCAACACGCGGGGTCAATCGTTAAACCCTTGCAGCCGGCTTCCCGGTTTTACTTTCCTGGTTCTTTCTTTATTAGATTTTCTTCGAAATATCTTTTATGAATACCAATAAAAAAGTTGTATTCTTAACATTTCGAAAAAGATTTTTTAATTTTAAAATTGATAGTTATTTCATTTTCGCTTTTTTTGACGGATTTCGCTGGCTCCAGGTCAAGATTCCAACGGAAAATTGAAAGCAACGCTTAGAGTCATTCCAAATGCGGCCAAAGTTCAAACCAAAAAATATTTCGTTCTTTTTTTCGGAATATCAAGCTATTGTAAATCTCTCTTTTCTGTTTTATTCATCAAAAAATCCACGAATATGAATAAGACGCCGAATTTCAGAAAATGCTCAAATATGTAGCTCTTCTTGCCCTCCTGGCTGTCACCAGCTTCGCCGCCGAGTTCAAATCGATCGGCTACAAGACTTGTGGTCAGTTTGAAGCATACCGGGAGTTTCAAACTTCGAGGGCTTCGGAGTCGATTTAGAGAATAGTAAACTCGAAATTCTTAGTGCAACTATCAAAATATTACAAAGATAAGACCAAAATTACTTCCCTCCTGGATTAAATTTCAAAATATAACTTTCCTTTCAGCCTCCGAATCGACGATTGTCGATGTCAAGAGCGATCTGTGCGAGTTGGTTGAGAAAAACGGAAGGAAAGTCTGTCTTTTCCAGCAAGGGACCTCCCCCAACATCCGCATCACCTTTGAGCCTAGTTTGGGGATTTTCATACTTTTTTTTAAACTTTTAAGTTAAGAGAAGAACTTTAAAAGCCTGAAGAGCTACATCCGCGCCAAGATCGGTCAAGGAGCCATGGTCGAGTTCCCGCAGAGCGACACCAACGCTTGCAATCGAGGTTTTTCGTTCATTTCGTATTTGATTTGATCTTTTTTTATATTGATAAGATCTCACTGAATGCAATTTTTCACGAATATAATAAGTCAAGTTCCATTATCATCATAATATTAACAATACTAAAGAAGGGAAGCTAAAAATTTTGAAAACTCTGGAGGATTGGGTGATAACTGTTTTTTTCGATTGAGCAGGAAAGCGCCTTCAAAAAAAGAAAAAAATTTAAAAAAATTTAAAAAAACCTTTCTTTTTTTCTTCAAAATTTACAGCATAGAGGGTTGTAATCTTTGTCACAAGTTCCTTACTTGTCTCAAAAGAAAGCTATATTTTAACTTTCAGCAACGATATTGAGACGGGAAAAATAAAGTATCTCGAAGAAAAAAAATGAAAAAAATGAGGAAATTTAAGAAGAAAAAAACAGGAGTAAAGATAGTTGATTATTGATGAGAAGAAATTATAGGAAGATCAGTTTTAAAAAAGATCTACGTGCTGAGGTCGACCAAAGTATAAATTTCAAAAAAAAAGGGTCCATTTTCCAAAGTTTTATACACCTTTTTAATTCAATGTTCAAGCTTTATCTGAAGGATGGCTTACTCCGATTTTTAAAAGCATTTTTTTCCTTAGCATACAGCTTTTGCAGGACCAAAATGCCCCCTGAAGGCCGGTGAGAAACAAACCTACGAACAGGAAATCCACATTGCCAGTCATTACCCAGTGGTTTGAAAATTTTGAAACTCCGAAAAAATCAAAAAATTCAGGGAGAACAGGTCCAGGTCAACTGGCAATTGGTCACCGACGACGCCGACGCCGAGAAAGTCGTCTGCTTTATTTTCATCGCCGAGATGAAGAAATAGACGAAAAATACAAATTTGAATGCATTTTTGTACTGATAACATTGTAAAGAAAAAATATAAACTTTCATATATCCAAATTTATTACAGATTCAGACCTCAATAACACGAGTCCATTCGGGTTTTTGGATCTTTCCATACTGGATACCGGTGATTGCGTCGTAGAATCTTAAGAAAATAAGACTTTTTGGGTGTCACCCGACCCGAAACGACTTGCGCTCTGAGTCGTCACTCACTTGTTCATGAGCTTGACTTTGCTCTGAAGGGTCGGAACGTTCAGTTTTTCGTTGATCCCAGCGGTTTTGTCGAGGTAGAGGATCTCAGAAATCGGTCCGACAACAGCGGCAGTACCAGCTCCGAAGAACTCGTAGACCTGAAAACCTTTTGCATGGATTCTCGCTCTCAAATCTTCTTGGATTTGAAAAAAAAATGCTCTGAAAGGATCGATGAGCGGCAAAACAGAATTATACCAAAAATCTCGGGTTAAATTTACTGAGCCCATATTTTGGTCACAATAACTAGGCAAGACCCTGAAAATTTCACTAAGGACTTTGAGTGGCTCCGCCCCTTTTTAGGGTTCTGGTAGCGAAAAATACCAATCTGTAACTTTTTTCTCCTTGGTTCAAATCGGAAAAAACTTTTTTTAACGAAAGAAATCTGGACGGTTTTTCTGTACTATAATTTTGTTCATAACGAAAAAAAGTCGATTTTCATTGAGAATAATGCATTTTTTTGATTTCGCGGTTTCTCGACAAGAAGAACTCAAGAAAAAAGTGAACTTTTCTTTGCTTAATCGATTGAATGGGTCTTTTTTTGAGTGAATATATCATCAAAAACTTCCAGAATTAAGGTGGAGTTTATAAAGTATTGGGATTAGAGAAAAAGATGAAAAATTCCAGAGTTTTAGAGAGCTGTCCCGAAAGAAATAGACCATTGGAGAACAATGTGGAACCTCCTAGAAAGGTACAGAAAAAATGAGGAGGTTGTGTAACTTTCTAGAAGGGAAACCTCTACACATGTCATGTAATGGGACTAGAAATTTATATATTACTATCAAACATTCTAGAATCAGCGTACTGTGAGCGTTAAGCTCCAACACAAAACTTCATCTCAAACTTTAATTTGAGCCATTTTATTCCATTTATTTCATTTTTTCGATTGCTCGAAACTGACCCTCTTCTCTTTGAGAGCCCGGACAAACTGATCCATCGTAAATTCCTTCTCCGTCACCTTGAATTGCTTCCATTCCTTGGCCAGTTCCAGGATCGATTGTCGAGTGACTCCAGGAAGAAGAAGTCCTGAAAAACCCTTGAAATTCCAGGAAACTTCTCGGAAAGAACCAGAATCAACTGGAGCTGTTATGAGCTCGTCCTCGCCTTGTTCGTTCTTCCAGAACAGGAAGACGTTCATCGCGCCGGCTTCGGTTATCTTTAGAAATGAAGGACTTTTTTATTTATTTAGAAAACTAACATTCTTCTCCTCTCCTGACAACCAAAGCACTTGCTGGCAATTTTTCGCGGCGGCTTCTCTGAAGAAATATTAATGAAGAAAGAGTTTTTACGGCTTCAGTTGAACTTGAAGATCTTTGAAATTAATTCCTACACGTTCGTCGTTTCATAAGAATGATTTCAAAAAAAAAAAGACGAACTTCTCAGGAATCAAATCAATACCGATTGATACACCGATAGTCAACTGAGATTAAACAAAAATGATAATTTTTAGAAGGGAATTTTCGTGTTTTTTGATATTCTGGTCGTTTCTTTGCACCTTTTAATTTTATCGAAAAGCTATTGGAAGATAGTAAGATAGTAAAAAACTTTGTCAACTCCAGAGTTTCCCCTGGCGGCGTTTTTTCGACAAAGCCACGCCAACTTTTTCTCCGTAAAGTGCCGTGTGTCGTGTGCATGCACGGCGCCGCTTTCGCGCAGAAAACTGTGTTTATGGAGAAAAATTTCGATTCGTCTCGAAGACCTCTGGCAATACGGCGGCCTGCGCCTTCAATTTGCCATGTTATTTTCGCTTTCAGAGCCGAAATCTCTGCCGTTCACATGATGTCACGTGGGAAAGGCGGATGTTTCGGCTCCGCCCACCGTGCTTTTGGTTTCGCATTTTCTTCCACTAACACAAACGTTTGATAATTTTCCTCTTTTGATAATTTTTAACACAAAAAAGCTAATTCAATGATCTTTTTCTTTGAATAGATATGCGCCTTCTTCACGCAGATTTCATACTAATAAACGATTTGAATGCTTCCCTACAGTGGCCACTAACGAAAACCCCTAAAGTTCACACTTTTGAAAAACTTAGGTCCCTAAAGGGAGAGGTAAGATGACCCCTAGAAGAGAACCTTTGATTGCCCTTAAGGTTGCCCCTATAGGGACTACTCTCCGAAAAACCTAGAAAATATTCCTATAATGATTGCGAAAATGTCGACTCTAGGCGTTTCCGTTAGTGGCCCCTCTAGGGGCTGCTTTTTCACCCTAACCCCTCTAGGGGCCACTCTGGCGAAGTTAGTTGTCTACCTTCTCGCATGCTGAGCAGGTGTCTCAACGGGTGTACCCGTATTAAACCCGTGTTTCTGAGGTTATTTTAGTCTCAGTTGGGCTAAAACGGGGGAACAACGGGTGTAAGAAAAATAGGTAACCCAGCTGGGCTAAAGCGGGGTCTCAGTTGGGCTAAAAAGTGCCAAAAGTTCTATCAGCTGGGCTTATACGGGTTTAATACGGGGGCACCCGCGGAGACCCCGTGTTAGCACGGCGGGGTTACCCTGCTCAGCATGCGAGTTATTTTCCAAAGTTTCTTAACTACAGCTCTAGAATTCAAATCAAACCTTCCAACGTAAATAGTCGGGGCGTAGTTGCAGCCCATCTTGAAGGCGCCGACGCCGCCAGGCCAAGAACGGACGTAGCTCGGATCTGCCAGCAGCGATACTCCCTGACTTCGGTCCAATCTTTTTCTTTTTTCCCAAAAACCTTATTGCCGGTCTCAAAGTAGCTTCCGGCCGGCCCAGCGATCATGTACCACTTGACTTGGTTGGGGACATGAAGGCCGAGGGATGGGTCCGTGGCGATCATCACCGGACGGATGTACAGACTCGCCTTTTCTGACTTTGGCACCCAATGGGAGTCCAGGCGGACCTCAAAAACATAAAATTCCTTTTCTAAGCATTCCTAAAAAGAATATGAGAGTCAGTGGAATCGAATGACCACATAACTGTGGTAATCAAAAATAGATAAAAAAATTGAAGTTTGAAACAAATTTTGAACTTGATTCCTAGGACATTGCGCTACAACCAAATGAGAACCCAGGGATGGTCGAATTTTAAAAAAAAATTGAAATAAATATTTTTGCGGTCTCTTGATCAAGGAATGAAGATTTTCTTCAAAAGTTCAGAAAACAAAAAAAAAAAACTGACCAACTCCTCGATAAGTTTGATGGCTTCCTCGGTGTCGAAATCCGGAAAACAGCTCCTCTCTGCCGACCTCCGCATCCTCTGCATGTTCAACTCCGGTCGGAACAGGCGAATCTGAACATTTTTATTTTTTGAGAACCATAATAAAAATAAATAACCTTCTTATCAACGCCATAATAAGCCTTCATGCCTTCGAAAAGCTCCAGTCCGTAGTGGAAGGCCTGGAATCACTAATAAAGTTGAAATTTCTTCAGAAAACTAGGAACCATCATCCCAGGATGGTAAGACTGAAGGCCCAGCGGGCGGATCTTGGGCTTGCCCCATCCGCTGTTCATTTCCCAGTCGGCCTCCACGAAATGATCCGTGAAGACTTTGCCGAAACCGACGCCGTCCGACTGCATAGTTTAGTTTATACATGAGAATAATACCGAAATCTGATTTCCTGAATTCAAATCAAGCAATGAATCACGCGCTGAAAAGCTCAAAACAGTTCATTTCACAATTTTTGATTTTATGAAGTTTTATTTCAATAATTTCCCAAAAATGACAAAATATCCATTTCCTGAACGTTCTCGGTCCTCGGTAACGAAAACCGGACGCGTTCCGGACATTTCTGAGCTTCTAGGGATCACTTAAGAGCACTGACGCTACTAAAGTGGTCACTATAAATGCTCCGCCACGCTCGGGGCGCGTCCAAGTTCCTATTGTCATTTCACCGAAAACAAAAACCGACATTACTAGGCACATGGGCTCGATTTTTCGCCTCCTCGATTGTCAAATGTTTGTGATAAAAGGTCTTCGGACGCGTTTTTGACCTGAAAATTTAAAATTTGATAGGTCTTGCCTGGAAAAAAGCTACCAAGCTGCTGGCGTACTATAAGAACGGAGTTGTCGAAGAATGCTTGCTGCTTTCATTTTCACTAGATTCAGTGATCTAAAACAATCGTTGAAAAGTCATTTCTGAAGGGAAACATACGGATTTGTTCAACACAGTCGTCGGCTCGACGATTTTTCGAAATGAAGCGATTTCCATCTTTAGCGTTTCACGTTCCCTTCTCTTGAACCTGAGAAAAGATTCACGTGATCAAAGTTTTGAAATCTAGAACTGAAATTTAAAATTGAACAAAGACATTATTTATATTTAAGAAAACACTAGTAGGAACGAATCGAGACTTTCTGATGTCATTACATGTCGATGGTACGACAAAATCTCAAGCCCGCAAATCTCGAGGACCGTAATCTTGTGTACGCAGATCTAAAGTCCCATAATCTTGGAAACCAAAATCTTGGAGACCAAAATCTTGGAAACCACAATCTTGGAAAGCAAAAATCAACGCTTTTGCGAACAGATTTTTTCAGAAATTGTATTCGGTGATCCAAACAAGAGAATATAAGTAGATAAAGTGCAATAAAGAAGACTAAAAAAAAAGAATGCTTCCAAGATTGTGGTTTCCAAGATTTTGGTCTCCAAGATTTTGGTTTCCAAGATTATGGGACTTTAGATCTGCGTACACAATATTACGGTTCTCGAGATTTGCGGACTTGAGATTTTGTCGTACCATCTACATGTCACCAAAAACGGATTAAAACGAAAAGAAGAAACGAAAAAAAAAAGAACTTGTTTTCGAAATTTTTAATAGCGAGGAAATGAGAAAGTGCGCCCCAGAAGCCTTATGAATTTCGCATTTTTTTGCACTTAAAATACTCTTTTTCAATATGATATTCTTTCGAGCTGTTCACAAGTGTAATCGATGTGTCCCAAGAACACTCCTCACAATGAATACTGAACGTTAAATTATTTCTTTTCCCATTCAAAACACAATTTCTTCGCGCAGCCAAATTTTCTTTGTGAGTTTGACGTTGCGCAGAAAGAAACGAAAATGGGATTCATTGGCAAAAAAAAAAACGAAGAATGGCGTGGGCCTGAGGATGAGCTTTTGCCATCCAATTAAGGGCGTCCTTTTTAGGCCTCCACGGCCCGTCTTTTTTCGTGGCGTCGTCACTTTTGCGCACATTTCTTGGCTAATGCTCATTTTTTATTCATTTCTCGAAGTTCAAAACCTTTTTGAAAGGTTGTTTTGTAATTATAACACAGACTCCCAAATTTTTTTCGCTGTTTTCTTACTGTAGCGGTGTATGTGTGCGCACCAAATTGCGGCTCATGCATATAACTCGACGCGCCTAATCAAATAAATTTATATTTCAAAAGTTTCTATTGCTTTTTTCATTTGTGAAATCTGTTCATAATACTTCTCTCGCTCTCAAAAATATTAAGATAGGCCTCAGTCTTTATATTCGTGAGGAATTAGTTTTTTTTTTCGAACATATCATAAAGGTAAGTTTATTTTTATGGTTGTCTTTATTTTTTGTCGTATTTCATGAAATTGAATTCAGATGAGTTTTTTTTTTCAGTGGAAGCAGTCGTTTTGCAAACTCAGTCTTCATACTTCTGTGAGTCCTTTTTGGCGTTTTCTTCTTTTTTTTATGAAATGTATGCCGGCTTTGTTTGCGATACAGAGATAATAATTTCAAAAAAAGATGAAGCAGAAAACAATTCAAAAAGTTGTGCAAAAAAGTCATTAAGGCAAATATAGGTAGTGTTGTTTGAGAATGGACTAGTATAATTTTCGAGCCGCGCACACGACGAATGCAATTGTCTCTAGAGCAATTTTGGGGTGGAAAAACGATGGGCAAAAATTAATTCGGTGGCTAAATTCTTCCAAACTGAGCCATCAGTATGCATGTGACGGCCGTGTTTTTCCGCCCATTTCACTCAAATTTGCTCTTTGCTAATTTTTCTCGGCTTGGTCTAGCCAAATTTTGTGATTACTGTTTAGAATATTGGGAAGCTTTCAAAGTTTCTACCATAAAAACAATTGTTTCTCCCTCGTTTTCTCTCTTCATTTCTGTCGATTCTGCTGTAAAAGTTGCGCATTTTCGAACGATTTAGCCCTAATCGGCAGACACTGCGCGGGAATTTTCCAGCCTCCGTTGTTTTGTAGTTTTAACGGTCTGCAGGTTTCTGTTTTTCAAAAATAGGTTGAGGAAAGGCGGCCGGTTTTGATTGAAAAAGATGGATCTAAAGAAAATTTTTTTGTTTTTTTTGAGATTTTTTTCTCCATTGAAAGAGTTGTTCTAAACTTTTAGACTCTTTTTTTGCGGTTTTGGTGAATTTCACATATAAACCTGTTATGTGATTATTTTTGTATTATTAGAATCTTGATTCGAGTAACTTCTAATCCATTATTAGGGATCTGATATTTTTTGAATGTTAAAAATGTTTCATGACGAGTTTATAATCAAACAGAATTCTGTGGAAAAAAAATATAAACTTTTTAAAAATGGTTTTTTGAACTTCAATTAGAAGATTATTGATTTTTAAAGCTTACTGGTTTAAATTTTTTTCAATTGGAACTTGTCTAGCAACTTTTTAAAAATTTTTCATAGTTTTTTTCCTCGACTCGAAAAATTGAACACCTTCCGATCTATGTTCAGCTACGTTTTTCTCTTTTTCTTGCCTAATAAAGAAATAAGTAAAGTCAAAAAAATGACTTTTTTTTAAAGATTTGGAAGTTTTAAAAGAATGAGAAAAAAACATAAAGAACCTGATTTTCGTATTTTCAAAGCTGAGAACTTATCAAGTTAGGGTTTTTTTACACGTTTTAATATGAATTTCATTAAACTATAGACTTCTGATTTCCGTACCCATTTTTGGAAATCTTGTGATTTGAATTTTTAAATTTTTCTTTCCCACAATGTCGTACCATTTAACCTACCATTTCCTCCACTTTCTGGCAATTTTCCAACTTTTCTCTTCATTTTCGAGTCACTTCTCGTTTCTGCTAATGACCGTGTGCCAAGCAACACGTTTCGATATTAGAAGTTGGGTCGTTTTATGGGCACAAGAATATACAACGGTGCGTCGCGCAACTTGTTTGGGGCGGCGGCGGGGGAAATCGAAAAAGTCAGGCCAAAAATGGACAATGCGCGGGAAAAAAAAGGAACCAAACTTTCTCCGATTGCCACTCCAATCGCTGATATTTGTGTTTACTGCTTTTTGTTTTCCAGTGATAAACTCATTTTGAGAGAGTTCAGGCTTTTTTTTTTAGTTTTCCTTGAAATTCTCAACTTTTTGATTTTTCTTTCATGTTTCTTCATAACTTTGTTGTTTTTTCTTCGAGTTAGATTTGCCTTTTCGATAGAATTACCAAATATATTCTTCCGTGTTTCTCTTTTTTTTTAAATCAAAAATATTCGCTTAGAAACCGAAAAGCACATGGTTTCATGAAACTATCGAGGCTTTGAGCCATTTTTCATTTTTGTTTTCGATCACACAAAAATTCTGCACCCCAGTGAGGAAGCCTGGAAAAGGCTAGAGTAAAACTATTCGAAAACTTTCTTGAAAACCGTCCAATCTTTTTTTGAGTTATTATTCCTTAAGTTTCATTCAAATGAACTTGAACTTTTTGGAGCCGCTGTTCAAAAATAAAGAAATAAAATAGTTCCAGTGCTCTTTTTACTGCAAAAATTAGATTATTTTTCGGCCAAATTTGTATTTTTTTTTTTGCAAACATGATTTCGAGTTTTATAAGTGAAGTTTGCCTGAAAATAGAAAATCTAGTTTTTTTTTTGGATTTCTGGGCCAATTTCTAGAAAGGTCTTTGAATCTTATTTTTTTTACCTAGAGTTAGAAATGTTCCAAACAGTCCTCTTTTTTTCCAGATGGTTTTTGGAAAAACTCAATTAGATGTAGATTTCCAGATTTTAGATTAACTTTTTGAATTTTTTTCAGTATTTCCAATTTTTTTGATGTTTTAGATTTTTTTCAATTTTTATACTTCTCATTTTTTTGGACTTCTCATAAAATGCTCCGTTTGTAGGGGGAAAAATTTATTAGTGCACATCGCTGTTTCTCCTCTTTCTGAGCCTCGAAACGCAGCTTTGACTGGTCGAACGTTGCCTCAAAGAACATTATTGGAACGGCGGAGGAACAAGGCGTTTCTCCCCGAAAAAGGAAAAGAAAACAAGAAACAATGAACTTTTTGCCCATCGTTTGTCACGGTTTTCTTCGCGCGGTGGCCATTTAAATATTAGATTTTATTGGTTTCTACAAAATTCTATTTTTTCAAAGAAGTTTATCAAGGAAGTTTTATCCAACATGAACCTTTAAAAAATACTTTTTTTTTTTTAGGAATTTTCGCAAATTTCAAAGGTGTATCCAGTTACGTTGAGGAATTGAAAGCTTAACATTTTTGAATGAGAAAATTTAGAGTTTTTTTCCTCTTATTTTTTTCCTAAAAAAAATATTTATTTGACTACTGAAATATATGCTTATGATACAGCGGAAGGTATAATGTTTCTCTGAAATTTCCGGAAAACTTCGTTTCTTCTATTTTTTTGAAAAATATTTTTCAAAAAAAGGTTTCATTCAGTAGATAATGATAATTTTGCGCTGGAAATAGTTTCTCAGAGACTCATTACTGGTTTAAATAAATAATTTATTCAGAGATCAGTGTGAACCCCAACGAGTTCACTTCGATCTACAATTCAAATAAGGAAAAAAAGTTGAAGTAAAAAAAATTGAGAGATGGTTTATTTTTCTTTTTCTTATACAAATTAAGCTCTTGAAACAGTAATTAGTGATTTTATAAAAGAAAATTCTCACAATTCATCACGAAGTTATATTCAATCTATGCATTGAAAAAAAGTGAAAACTAGAAAATAATTGGAAAAAAAGTATATGAGCAAAAAAAAAGTTAGCTTCAAATTTTGGTACAATTTTTTTTATCAGTTCAGTTCTGATATGAAAAACAGGGAGGAAAAAATTGAAACTTTTAAAATTTAAGCAAAGTGAATAGAAATCTTCATTTTGAAATGAAAAATTTTGAAAAAAACTTCGAAATACAAAAAGTTTGTAAGAAGTAGATTGTTTTAATTTGATTTGTTTCATATTTTTTTGGAAAATCGAGAGAAATTAGTTAAAAAGAAATAATTCGAACCCAGTTTTTTTCTAGATTTTTGCGAAAAGCAAAG